CCGACGTCGCGCGCGTCGCGCGCGCGCTCGCGCGGCGTTGGCACCCGGATAAATTCGCGCAGCGATTCGGCGGGTCCCTCGACGCGCGCGATCGCGAGAGAATCATCGCTCGAGTGATGGAGACGTATCAATCGGCTCGACAATTTATCGACGCGACGACGCGGTGACGGTCTCTGACGTTCGACCCACCGTCTCCGACGTCGTCGACGCCGCGGCTACGCGCGACGCCTTCTCATTCTCATCCCCCGATTCGCGCGCCAACGCCTCCACCACCGCGATCGCGCGCGTCGCCGCCTCCGTCCGAGCACACATTCTCGGCGTTCGCCCGCGCGCATCCATCGCCCACGCCCCCTCCGGCCACGCTCGCCCCACCGCGTCCACGCACGCGCCGTCGCCGCTCGCGCACGCCTTGTGTAACGCCGTCTCCCCGTCCACGTCTCTCGCCCGCGCGTCCCCCCCCGCCGCGACGAGCGCTCGCGCGCACATCGCGTGCCCTCCCGCGCACGCCTTATGCAGCGCCGTCGCGCGTCCGCTCACCGTCGTCGCCGTGGCGTCGAATCCTCGCTCGAGCAACGCCTCGACGCACGCGAGCGATCCCGCGCGCGCGGCGTGATGCAGCGCCGTGCGCCCCTCCCGTCGCGGCGCGACGATGCCACCACATCGCGTCTCCCGCGCGAGGGCGTCGAGGACGCCCGCGAGGTCGCCCACGGCGGCGCGCCCGTCGACGCCGCGCTCGAATGCGAATTCCGCCATCGTCTGCGACGCGCACATCCGTCGCCCGCACGCGCACTCACGGTCGTCGCACGGCGCCGTGCGCGGGGGCATTGAATGGAGAAAAAAACGCCGCGCCCGAACGCGCGCGCGCGGGGACGATCGAGACCTCGCGCGCGCGTCAACGGCACGGAATGTGGCGTGAATGTCTCGCACCGTGAGTCGCGGACCGTGACACCGCGACACCGCGACGCGCCGACCGCGACGCGCGCGCACGTCGCGCGGACGTCGAGGCGAGCGGCGATGGCGACGACGATGACGGGGGCGATGACGCCGCGCGCGCGATGCTTGGGTGGGACGCGAGCGATGCGTGGGACGAATGCCCCGCGAGGGCGTCGCGCGGGACCACCGCGTGGGACGGGTGGGACGTCGACGACGCGGGAGAGCGACGACGCGTCTCGCGCGGGGACGAACGGTGCGGAAGGGGGGGCTTGGGAGGGCGCGGGGGGGTCGGTGACGAACGGGGGGCGTGCGAGCGGGGGCGGGGGGAAGAAGAGCGCGCGGGGGGGGGAGCCGGACGTCGGACGCGCGGCGAGGTACATGCGAGAGTTGATTAAGAATCAGGTGAACGCGAATCACTTGGCGCGCGCGGGGTCGGTGACGGATTCGTCCGTGCTCCGACGGAAAGGGCGGTTGAAGGAGCAGGACGCGCTGATCGAGTTCATTGTGGACCTGCACAAGACGCACACGACGGAGGAGGTTTTTCAAAAGGTCGAGGCGTGGATCGACGAGGTCCTGGAGGTGCCGAAAGAGAAGCGACGGTTCAGTAAACTGTCGCGAATGGTTCCTCAGGTTGGGTTCTTTTTTCATCGTTTGCCCTTGGTGAAGGCGCTGCGAGAGTACGACGAGTTCTCGCAGCTCTCCAAGCGGAGATACGTCTTGCCAAACTTCGCCGAGGTTCGTCACATCTTGAACATCGCGCAAGTGCATGCGTCGAGCAAGGACGTGCGACTGGTTACTTTCGATGCGGACGGGACTCTTTACGCGGACGGCATGCACTTCGAGGATGATAACAAGATGATTGAAAGAATCATGCAGTTTATGGAACTGGGCGTCCACGTCGCTATCGTCACCGCGGCGGGTTATCCGGGCGAACCCTCCAAGTTTGAGGGTCGACTCAAGGGTTTGGTGGACGCTTTCGCGGCGCAGAAGTTGCCGAAGGAAGTGCGCGAAAAATTCCACGTCATGGGAGGCGAGTGTAACTATCTCTTGCGAGTGAATGACGATTACCGTCTGGAATTCGTTCCCTCGTCAGAGTGGCACACGGAGCACATGTATGACTGGAGAGATAACGAAGACGTTCGACAGTTCTTGGATCGCGCGGAAGATTTCTTGACCTCTTACGCGAAGCACTTGGGTGTCCAAGTCGACGTCTTGCGCAAGGAGTACGCGGTCGGTGTCATTCCCCAGAGCGATACCATTTACGAAAACTTGGAAGAAATCGCCTTGGCGTGTCAAGCCGAGCTGAGCGACTCGAAGATTCCTTTCTGCGCTTTCAACGGCGGGAACGACGTTTTCGTTGACGTCGGTAACAAGCATATCGGTTTGCAAGCGCTCATGAAGTATTTGAACGTCGCGGGCTCGCAAACTTTGCACGTCGGTGATCGCTTCACCCTCACGGGTAACGACGCCAAGGTGCGAGAAGCCGCATCCATTCTTTGGGTCGCGAGTCCGGACGAGACGACGTTCTTCATGCGCTTGCTTTACCGTGATATTCTCAACGCAAGAATTCTGTGATCTGATATCAATATCGCACGGGTCTCGGTTGTAATTTCATATTTACTTCGTTCCACTGGAAGTCCCCAAGTCCAGCGCGTTCGCGCGCGCGAGTTCAACCTCCTTCGCTAAATATCCCAATCGCCGTTCCAACGCCGTGAGCTCGTTATTCAGAACCCTCGAACGAGCCTCCCAGTACGCCGCGTCGTCGTACGCGCGACTCCAACGGAAACCAAACGCCGTTTGCGTGAAGGCTCCGAGCAGCCAGTCCGCGAAGATTGAGAACATGGTGTGCGCTAACACAACAAGCGCGAGCGCCATCGCGACTTTACTCGCCTTGGAGCACAAAATACAAGTCTTCTTAATCACGGTGTCAGCTTCGACGAATTCAGCCTGCATCTTCGAGCTCAAGGTCTTAATGGGTTTGAGCATGCTCGCAACGATGTCCTGAGAGTCCTCGGGAATGTGCAACGAATTGAAGTCCACCACCTCCTTAATAGAAACCTTTTTAGCCTTCTTGGGTGGATTAATCTTTCGTACAATCGTATCAATAGTCTTGGTGACGATCGCCTTGCTCTCGTCCACAACACTACCCACGATGAGACCCTTCATGATCGTCGACTTTGTGAAAATGACCTCGGTGCCCACCGTGATCGAGCAACTCTTCTTTGACAGTGGACGAAGCATCCATCGCGCCTCGACTCGAAAGTAGTCACCGTAAGGAATATCACTCTGAATTTGAGACGTCCATAAGACCAAAGTTTTATCTTCGTACACGCCGTAACTCTGATTTTGATGACACCGCGTCGACTTGGGACCGAACGACTGCTTCACCGGTGCGGTGAACACGACGTCACGAACGCAACCCACTGTTCGCTTATACTTCCATTCAGTGATGTTCACGTTCGTTTGCTCCAACATCATCGAAACTTTTGGCTGTAACTCCGTTCTTGATTTGTCCGAAAATCCCGCGAGGAAGAATTCTTCAACGGAGCAGTCGATCTCTCCGCTGTAAACGTTGATGGAAGATGACGGTAGGGGTGGGGCATTCCCGGAAACCCTCGCCGTAGGCGTGTTTCCAAAGTCCACCGGCATGTCGTCGTCGTCCGCAACGACGTCGCTGTCATCGTCTATGCCCTTGCCGCCTACCAAGTCCTCCTCTTCCTCCTCCTCCTCCTCCTCCTCCTCCTCCTCCTCCTCTGACTCGCCGCTTAATTCGTCACTCAGAGTCCTCTCCGACGGAGAACTCAACGCTGTCTTCAACGTCTTCGCTGAGATCGCCCCATTCAACTTCCCATAGTGTGACACCCGCGCCCACTGATGACAAATTACCTTGAAAGACTTCTCGGGGAACACGAACGAGGTGAAAAAGTCCGTCTTTGCGCCGTGCGTGATCTCGATTGCGTTTGGAAAAATGACCGCAGTCTTGGCTCGATTGATTAGCGTAACGTCCTCGAACGGAATCTTCACGCGAGTCGTATACCCGAACACGTTACTGTAAAAGCAGACGTGTCGCTCAAACACGTACATCTTCCCCTGCAACAAAATCTTACTGTGGAGCGCGCACATGTACTCGGTGACGAGGATCTCGTCGCGTTGCAACTCGAACAGTTCTCTCAACCGAGGGATCCGACCACTGCTCTGAATCGTTGCCCCATCTGAGCTCGTCGCCTCCGTGGGTGACAAGATCCCCCGCCCATCGCGCATCGCCTCCATGGGCGGACTCTCCCCTCGGAGCGGTCTCGTCGCGGATGACGACCCGCGCTGCCCGCTTCGGTGCGCGTCCCGCTCCCCGCTCGTCACCTCCTCCCCGTCGTCCAACGACGATCCCACGCCCCGGATCTCGCGCGACATCGACAAGGCCTCTAACAGCGACTTCGTCGGCGTCAACGGCGCCCGCGCCGTCGCGCTCTCGGTCACCGACGACGTTTGATTGAGATTTGGATTCGCTCGCTGTTCAACCGTCGGCGAACTTCCCGTGTCGATTCGCGCCATGACGTCCAACGCGTCTCCGCGACGGTGCTGCAGACGAGGTACGTGCACGTGCGCGTCTGCGTGCGCGTCACAGAACGATTCGCGCGAGCGAGACGCGATGCGGCGTCGCGCAATGACGAGAATTCAATAATACCGCGTCGCCGCAACGACGCCAATGACGCGTCATTCCTCGTCGTGCGATCGATCGTCATGCTCGCACGGTGGACGGTGAGTGAGAGTGTAAGTATTCGACCACTCAGGCGCGGACTTGGACGCGGACGTGGACGAAGAACGAAGCGCGCGACGAATTCGTCGCAGATTCGTGTCGAGGTTGATTCCGATGTGGACACGAAGAGCGTCGATGATGGCGCGATAAGAGGCCCAACGCGCGACGTGATCTTACAGTCGTGCGTGACGACATCTTTGGGAATGCTCGGCGCCGGGTTGGCGATTAGAGGGGCGAGTGATGCGTTTCCAACGGTGGCTGGGGCGCTTGACGCGACGCTTCCACTGTCGAGCGGCGACGTCGGGACGACTGTCGGGACGGCGGTCATCGCGGCGACATGCGTGACGGTGGGGAGGATAGGGTTATTACAAGCGTGGGTAGAGTTCGCCGAGAGCACCGATCGGTCGAACGCGAGCGTTTTGGGAGCACTGGAGGGATCCGCGGACGTGTTGCTGGTCGCCGCGCTCCCGGCGATTGGAGAGGAGGTGTTGTTCCGAGGGGTGGTATTACCGGCCATAGGCGGGGTTCCCGGAATTGCGATCTCGTCAATCGTCTTCGGAGCATTACACATCGGAGGTGGACGAAGCGCGGCGTTTGCGGTATGGGCGAGCGCGGTCGGGGCGTGTTACGGAGTGGCGGCGCTGCACGCAGGGTGCGTCGCAGCGCCTGCGGCGGCGCACGCGATGGCGAACCTCGCGTCGGCGATGTATTGGAACGCCACGCGAGCGGAGGGGGTGAAGATGGCTAAGGAGACCGCGAGCGATGCGGGGTCGGATTCGGATTAGTAATGGACTGCTAAGGTGTAATTCAAATCTGTGTTGGTCAATCAAAGTGCGGGCGACGCGGGGGTGGCGGTGGCGGCGCGAGGCCTCCACCCTGCCCATTGCCCTGCGGTCGATACATTCGCCGAGTTTCTTGTAACACGTGTCGAACAATCAACATGTCCGCGACGAATATGGCGAACATCCCCGCCGTCACCGGCACACAGAGCGTCAAGAACAGTATCGCCACGTTGCTCATGTGCAACTCTCGATGGAGGTACCCGTACGCCTTTTGCCCGAACGCCGGCACCGCGTACAGCGCTCGCAGCGCTCGGGAGAACCAAACTGCGTGGAAAAACGCGTGCGATTTCACTTTTCTATAATCCTTCCTCGCAAAGCTCACCAAGGCGTGGACGCTTCGATCTCCGCTATCGTATTCGTACATCTTTCCACCCTTGAAGAGCGCGATCGTCGGGTATCCCTTGGCCCCGATTCTCTTCACCAACAATCGATTCTTCGGTCCGTCCACGCGAGCGACAAAGAGCTCACCCTCCAGTTCTCGCGCGACCTCCCCCCACACGGGCGCCAGGGCTTGGCAGTGTTTACACCAATCCGCGTACACCTTGACGAGCACCGGCGTCCCGCGCGTCAACGCTTCGTCGAAATTCGTCTCCGTGAGATCCACCACCTCCCCGTCCGGCCCTCGCGTGAACGCGTTCGATCGATCACTTACGGCATCGCCACCGCCCGTCGCCGTCGCCGTCGCCCCCACCGCGCGCGAGATCCCGAGCGCGGTCACCATCGCCACGACCGCGACGACCGCGCGCGAGGCGCGTGGTCCACGCGCGTCACCTCTCGCGCGCGGCGCCGTCGCGGTCGTCGTCGTCCCCGACCGCGGCATCGCGTCCACGGGCCCGGCGCGGCGTCGAGGTCTCCCTCGACGTCGTCGGGGCGTCCGTCGTCCGTCGTCCACCGCGACGGACGATCGCGCGCGTCACAGACAGCGTCGACGGACGACAGAATACGTGCCGCGCGCACGTAGAGAACTAAAGAAACGGCCAACGCGCGACGGGACGGGAAATATCGCGCGCGCGAAAAAAGTGCCCCGCGATCGGATCGCGATCGGTATCTCATACATCGTCGTGTGGGTATTTAAATACACATACGGATCGCGGGATACGCCACGTCGGCGAGAACGCTTTTCGCTTTTTCCCCGCGGGGGCGAAGATACCTTTCGGGAAATACAATGATGGTTCGAAATGCGTTGATGTACGTCGATCCCGCGCCCGCACGGGTGACGTCGCGACGCCTCGGGATCCGCTGACGTCGGCGCGGGTGGGACAACGCGATAGCGCTGGCTGGATTTGTCGTTCTACGCCGACGCGTCGTCGCGCCGCACACGTTGACGCGGGCGAGAGAGACCGCGTGCGAGCGCTGGGGGGGTGGAAACACATTCCTCGGCATCACGCGCGCGCGCGGCGAGCGGACGGGCGCGCGTGATGCTGGCGAAACCGACCCCGTTCGCCGGGCGCGACGGCACCGCGAAGGCGCGAGGCGGTCAAGGCGCGACGAACGGCGCGCGTACGGAGCGAAAGAAGGGTGCGTGGAGGACGCGACGGGGGACGACGGGATGAGAAATAATCCCTCGCGTCGTCTCTCGATGTCGACGGCTCGACGCGCGCGCGATCGATGCGCGCGCTGCGTGAGATACGAACGAATGCGCGCTGGCACTCGCGCGCCGCAACTGTCAGATTTTTCACTCGCGGTTATCCATTTTCAGTATCGGGTTTATTCACGTACTTAAGTGCTTGAGAAGACCCTTCGTGAGCGATTGGCAAAAAAGATTTTTGTTCGCGTTGACCTGAAGTGAAGGATATGACGAGGACATCGATCGGACTGACGAATGAACTTTTTTATCGTGAACAGGCGTGGCGTGGACCGAAGAGGAGCACAAAAACTTTTTGATCGGGTTACAAAAGCTTGGAAAGGGCGATTGGCGAGGGATCTCGCGACACTTTGTCACGACGCGGACGCCAACGCAGGTGGCGTCGCACGCGCAAAAATACTTCATCAGACAGACGAACGTGAGCAAGAGAAAGAGGCGCTCGAGTTTGTTCGATATCGTGGCGGAGCCTACGGAGAACGGCGATGGACACACGATCGTGCATAGATCGACGGCTGATGCCGCGAACGCGAGCACGCACACCAAAGCGGTAGGCGCTCGGGCGACCAACGGCGTGCACAAGAAGACGCAGCACCACACGGGCGGAATGTACGTGAATCCGCGCGAGAGCACGAACGCAACGAGATCTGTGGATGTACAACAGCATCGCGTGACCGGAAGCGCGTTGACGACGTCACTGTCGAATTTGGCGGACGTGGCGTCCCGTGAGGCGCATTACGTCGCAAGCCATCACATTACACAACCAGTTGGCGCGATATGGATGCACAACGCTACGGCGAGGGCGCAGAATCAGCAGGAAATGGGCACGAGCGCGGCGATCAAGATCGACGAGGAGGTTCATCCCACATTCCCTATGATGTACGGTTTCGGTACGCCCGTGAACGCGTACAACCAAGCCATGGTGCAATACATGGCGCAGTTGCAAGCTTTCGCACCGCATATGGAAGGCGGCGAGATTGGCCAGCTGAGCCACATCAACCAGATGAATCAGATGGCTTGGATGGCGCAACAGAACATGGCCTATCAGATGGCGGCGCGTAGCTACGTGGCTCAGGCCCAGCAGGGCGCGCAGAACATGAACTTTCGCCGCCCCACCGCGATATACGCCACCAAGGCGACACAAGCCAAGATGAACTCACAAAACATTGCCGCGAGCGGGGCATCGTAAAGAGCTCAACAAATCAAGAACTCAATCCATTTGCAAGAGCAAATTAAGAACTGCAACCGCAGGCGAAGAGCGCGTGCAATACAGTGTTTAATCAGTCGAGTGTCTTACTCTCCGTCTCAAGAGTGGCGCGGCTTTCCTGACGAGGAATTCGCCAGGTTTTCGCAACTCTCTGGACGGCTGTTGTATCTTGTATCTTAAGTACACTTCGACCTACAATACCGGTACCGGCACGTCTTAGAAAATAAAATCATGACTCGACTTGTTAGTAAATAAGTACCAAGAAGCAGTCTCGTCGACCTCATGACGGTCAAGGGGGTGTGACGAGATGGCCCAATCTCTATCTGAGGTATATGGGTAGACTCTCGTTGAGAGCAGTCTCGTCCCGCGAGCAGACGCGAACAAGCAAGGCAAGCGCAAGCCATTGATCGTCGCAGCACGCTCGAGTTATGCACCGGCTCGATCGGCGGGAACTTCTAAAGGATATCAGTATGGCGGAGTCTCGGGTTCTTTACCGCGAGTTCAAGGCGCTCAAGCGTCGAGAGGGTGAGCTCTTTGACAACTTGACCATGTGTAGCGAAGACCTCGGCGTGTGGAGGTTTGAGCTGAGATCTCATCACTTCGATCCGGGTGCCATTGGCACGAGAGAGTTGAAGAATGATCTGAAGAAGCTCAATAATCGTCACAACGTCGATCACATACTCGTCGAGTGCTCGTTCAGACTTAACGGCTCGGCTCCGTTTCCGACGTGCCCGCCGCTCATTCGAGTCGTACGGCCGCGCATGAAATGGTACACGGGCCACGTGACCTCTGGCGGATCATTTTGCACCGAAATGCTCGTCAATACGAAAGGTTTGAATGGCTGGCGTTCGAATTATCGCATTGAGGCCGTTATTCAGGCACTCGTGATCTCCGCGGTGCACTGCCCCGCAATTGTGATCTCAACGCCGTACAATGGTAGGCAAGTGAGCGGACCTCTACGCGTTGATCTCAGCTGTGAGTACACGGATAACGTCCTGCGAGAGTATTCTGAATATGAAGCTGTATCTGCGTTTACTCGCGCAGAGGCGCACCATCGTCGACAGGGATGGTGAATATTCAATGCGATGTCGTCCACTCGTCGTTGATCGATTGCGAAACCTTCTGGACACGATCGTAAATCTCATCCGCATGTTCTGGATCGAGATACCGTCCAAATTTTGCTGAGAATTTGTCTGGATGCCAGCGCAGTGAAGCTTTCTTGAACGCTCGCCGAAACAAGGCGGACGTGGCTTGGTTTGAATCCTCAAACTCCGAAGGAGCGCTCAATCGCTCGCACGCAACCATCTGTACGAGTATTGATCCCTCCTCTGGTGGCCACGGCACGTCGCCCAGTGTGATGAAACGCACAGAATCAACATTATCGCCGTCACTGGCGTTACCCTCCGCTCGCACCCGCTTCTCGAGGTTAGACCATGAAGATTCATGGTCGGACCACGTGAGCAGCAACAGGTGCGCGTCCACGCCGCCAATTTGCGCATTCAACGCCTCCACCATCGCAGCCGCTGCGCGCTCGGCAGCCTCCTCCGCATCGATCTGAATAGATGTATATGCATTCTCCATCGTGTCCATTTCCGTCAAACGCCGCTTGATCTCTTCCATTTCTGCCTCGAGCGCCGCGCGCGCCTCGCGACTTGCTCGCACCTCTCGGACGCGTTTCATCTGCTCCTCCGCCTCTCGCATCATCCCTCGCCGCCTGTCCTGCGTCGCCCTAATCCAATCCCGTTCGCACTTTGCGAACTCCACAGCCGCCGCCTCCTCATCGCTCTCGCTCTCGCTCGCGTCTTCCTCTCGCTCCTGCGCGCGACGAAGCGGATTGTAGTGCCTCATCCGCGCCCGATCGAGCGGTGGACTCCCGTTCCTCTCCCGCGCGTCGTCCTCAACGATTTTCCTCCGAACGCTCCAGCGCGCCGTGCTCTCGCGTTCGGTAGATCCCGACGATCGCGTCGTGCGTTACTCTGGAGTTTACACGGGCATTTCTCCATCTAGAGCAAGCGTTACGCTCGACACTTCGTCCGCACTCCCGCGCGCGATGAACGCTCCAGCGTTCGCGGTGCGCCCACGAGTTGACACCGATTCATCCACCGTTCGGGAACCCCCTGGGTACGTCCAAAGCGATCGCGCGCGGGGCGAGCGTCGCGAGAAGGACGCTTCCTCGATCGCTGGAGATTCCACGAGGCGCGCGACCTCGACGTCGCATGCGCACGACGCCGCGATCGAGCTCCAGCGCTCGAAGCTTCGAGTCCGTCGGGCGTTCGCGTACGCCCAATCGAGCGTGAGCTCGGTCGGGATGATGGGATTCATGATGTGGATGAGCGGATCATCGGTGCAAGTGTTTAGCATCATGGTCGTCTTCGGCGGCGTGGCGCAGACGACGAGAGCGATACTCGGGTCGAAAGCGACATTCGAAGCTTTCAGAGACGGCGACGAGCGGGCGAACGTGGCGCCGGCGCGGATGATGTTCGTTTTAGTGCAGCTTGCAGGGTTACTCTTGGCTCTTAGGAAGCTCAACACGATGGGTCTGCTGCCTTCGCACGCGAGCGATTGGGTCGGAGGGTGGAAACCGCCGCGTTCGCTCGAGCGCGCGTTCGGAGGCATAGAGTTAGAGTTTTAAAAATCTTAGCGAGCCTTTCTCACCCGTGTCGTCCGTCGAGCGTCGCTGTGAAGGTCATCGAATCCGTCGCTCACACGGGCGCGTTCAAGTCGTTCCTCGTGTCAGCCATCCTCAATAATCGTCGAGTGTCGTCTCGCACCACGGGTGCGCGCTCGGGAGCGTGTTTTGGTCTCCAAGCTAGATGTCCAACCTCGTCACGAACAGGCTCGCCCAGGAGCGCAAGGACTGGCGCAAGGACCACCCGCACGGTTTCATCGCCAAACCGTCCACCAAGCGCGACAAAAACGGCGACACCGTGACCGATCTCACGAAGTGGCAGTGCGCGATCCCGGGAAAACCCGACACGATATGGGCCGGGGCGAGTTACCCGCTGACGTTAGAGTTCGGGAACGATTACCCGGCGAAACCACCCAGGGTGGCGTTTCCAGCTGGTTTCTTTCATCCAAACGTGTACCCGACTGGCAAGGTGTGCCTGTCCATCTTGAACGAGGATAAGGGATGGAAGCCGTCGGTGTCGATCAAACAGATCTTGATTGGGGTGCAGGAGCTTTTAGACACGCCGAACATGAGCGATCCGGCGCAGCAAGACGCATACGATCAGCTCAGAAAGTCAAAAGCGACGTACGAGAAAAAAGTTCGGGAGCAGGCGAGAAAGTACGGGGCGAATTCCGGAGGGGCTGGGGACGAGATCATCCTGCTGTGACTGGTCGATGGAGGAGCATAGAGTTAGTATTTTAGTAGCATTCCTCATCATCAACTTTCGGCGCATCGTCATTTGTTGTCGTCGTTTGTCTAATCGTTCATCAGCGTCTCTTGATGCAGGCGCTTAAGGAATTGGCACATATCTAAGTAAATCGCGGTTTGAAAAGTCTCCTTGTGATTCTCGAAGAGCGTTAAGATCGTGCGCAAGCGTTCACGATCGCGTTCGGGAGACCATCCTTTCTTCGCGCGCAAGTACTTCTTCAATTCATTGTATTTACGCTCAATGCTGAAAGGATCTTCGTACCGCCTATCGTGTAACGTCTCCGAGTGGAGCCAAGCGTCTCGTAAGCTCGCATAAAGCTCGTCGATATCATGATTCACACCAGCGTCGTCGATCAGAAATTTGACGGTCTTAGCATCCAAGTTTTCGCATGCCATCGACACGTGATAAGCCTGATACGGAACACCCATTACGTCATGAAGAAATTTGAGCCCGTTGATGTTTGATCGCAAAAGAGCAACCTCGGCGTGTGAAACATCCGGGCTCACACCGCCCTCGTTTTTCAAGAAGTGCAGCAACTTTTCAGATGTTTCTGATCGTCCATCAGTCCACACACCGTTATTGAGAACAGCGTTCACGTTTCGTGGTTGAGCCTTGGCACCAGAATCGATCAAAAATTTCAAGTACTTTTCAATCGGCACCAAGTTCACCCCGTCGCCTGTGATCAGTCCGTACGCGTTCGAGACTAGCTCGTTGAAAAACTCGTTCAGAATGCCCGGCGCAGATATCGGAAACGTCTTTTCGCGAGTCGTCTCGAACAGGTAAGTGAACAAATCGAACTTATTCGTTTTCAGAAGCGCGCGCAGCGCCGATCTAACTTCATAGGCCACGCCGTTTCCCTGCATCCAAGCCAGGGCTTGCTTAGGATCAGGATCCTCCTGAAACAACTTCACGATAGAGCTCTCATACAAGTTTATATGCATGCTTTTTTTCTTCAGGCAGAAGCCGCATCGAGCTCTGACCACGTCGTAAGTTGTTTGACACGTCAGTTCGGCCACACGCGTCGCTGGCGCACTACCCGTTGAGAACGCGTTCGATTTCTCTGCCTTTGGCGCTTCTTTCGTCGAGGATCTTGTTGAAATCTTCCCGGCGGCGTCGTTCGCTTTCGTGCGCTCGCACCGCTCTCGCTCGGGCTCGGGCTCGACCTTGGGTGGTGCCTTCTTCTCGGATGCCGCGGACGCCTTCTTCTTGCAAGTCCTGGGCTTCTTTCGCGGCGGTGCGGATGCGTCGGGGGCACCGCTCATACCCCACGCGAACGCTCGAACGAGCCGACGTATCGTCGAGCGTTAACGCGCGCGATCACGGCGTGCGTCAATATGTGGAGGTGGCGCGCGTGGTTCTCTCTCGCCTCAATTTCACGTGTTGCACGCATCTAATTTTCAACGTGTTCAAGTCAGTTTAATCGAGGTCGATCAATACGGCCAACCTGTCTGCGATAACTTGTTCGATTTTGCGTCGCAGTTCATCGTCCTCTCTGACATCCTCGGCCTCATCGTGCGCCCGCTGAATAAATTGCATCACCTTGATGTACACGCCCTCAGACATTGATTCTTTGTGTTCGTCAAAAAGATCGTGAATGTGTCTGAGGGTTTCCTTGTCCTCTTCGCTCGTATCCGTGAGTTGTTCGATAGCTTCCACGAATAAAGCAAGTTGCTCCTCGACGTTTTCATCAAAAGCAATCCGTTTGATGTTCTGACCGTTCTCGCACATGTCCAAGAGAAGTGTCTTTAATCTATTTACGTCGGGCTTCTCCCCAATGGCTCCCTTCTCAATGAGATAATCAAACATGCTAATGCGCAATCCTTCCATGGTCTTCTGCATGTAGTACCAGGCATGGTCACCAAAACCGACACCGGCTACTTCGTGAAAGTACGCGACAACCGATTCGCTCAAGCAAGTGAACGCTATGTCCATGTGACGATTGTCAAACTTAAACTTTGCTTGACGCATCCAGTCAAGAATTTCGAAGCCCCGCCTCTCCGTGATTCCACCCCGCGTCGCGGTGGATATGAGCCGTATGATAGACTCGACAAATAAATTGCGGATAGTATGAAAATCTTCTTCATCTTTGAGACGGCTCTTGACCGCTTCAAAGTATTTGCATGGCGTGTGCTCCTCCAGAAACTCTCCTGCGCTTTGTTCCGGAAAACAACCTGGCGCAAAATCGCCCAGGCTGCGCGCTAACATGTAAAGGATAGAGAACACTACTTTCTTTTGGTCAGCTTGAATCGAGACCTTCATGATTTCGGTGCAAAAACGTTCGAAAAGGGAAATTATTCCGAACTTAAAAGCCATTTCAGCGCCTTTGAGGAGGCCCCACACATCATCATTCGACTGGATGCCTTCTGCTTTATATTTATCCAGTAACCTCCACACCTCTACGACCTCCTCTTCAGTGCGATACGAATCACGATTTTGGAAAATAGCACGAGAAATCTGGACACCGTAACCATCCAGGAACCAAATGGTTTTCATCTCTGCCTCTCTCGGATCACTTGTAACATAACTCTGAATCAGAAAATCGATGAATGGAAGCAGATTCGGTGGAAACTGTACCTTCCTGGCACTTCCCGGTTTTTCGAAGTACCTATTGATCAGTTCTTCCGCCATCTTACTCTTCTCCATCAAATATTTTTCTACCTTCCTCGCGCTCCTTCCTTGCGTCGCCGCTATTCCACGCGCATGTGCCTCCATCAAATTGATGAAAACCACCACATCTCCCTCCATGAAGGCCGCATCAAACCATTTGAGACTAATTCTAACGTATAGTTTCTCGGTAGACGCCCAGCTGAGCATATCCAAAATCTTGTTCGTCGTATCCTTCACGTACGCCTTGCTCCGATAGGCCGACCACAGCGTGCCGCCCTTCGACTCTTTCATCCTCCTCGCGCACACCGCGCACCGATTCTGAAACGCGTCCCAACGCGACTTACATTTTCTGTCTCTCGGACACTCCGACGCACTCGAGGTCTTCGTTGCCTTTGACGTCTCGGCGACCTCCGAGGAGGCGGCCTCGCCGGACGTGCTTCCTTTACCCTTCCTCGCGCCCTTCCCGGTGCCAGCGCGCGGGCGCTTGGGCTCATACTTCGGACTGTACGCCAGAACTTCGGGGATGCGCCCGGCTCGACATTCCGGGCAATCGCACATGTCGGCGCGCTCGGCTTCACATTCCTCGCAATCGCACACGGCGCGCTCGGCTTCACATTCCGGGCAATCGCACATGTCGGCGTAATCAATATCGTACAGCACTCGGCGCTCTTCCATATCGCGAAAGAATCGCATGAACACTTCATCGGGGTTGTTCCCCATTGTGAGCGTATGGTGCGACGTGGTGTGGCGACGAGGAGTGCGCGGCGGATGTTCGCGACTGGTGTTGCTGGCGCGAGTATTCAAAATATCACGTTTTCAAAATATCACGAGGGGCTGCAGACGGTGTTGCTGGCGCGAGTATTCAAAATATCACGTTTTCAAAAATCACGAGGGGCTGCAGCGGGCGGGTGAAGTTGGGACTAAGAAATGGTGTACAATTACATGAATCCAGCGCGCGTTCACGACTGCTCGGGACGCAAAGGCATGGCGGAGCCATCCTTTGTACGCGTGAACTCGAACAACACCGCTGGAGATCGATAGATTCTGATTAGGAGCCAGTACAGGCGCTCTTCGAGTACGAAGTCCCGCACTTGTCGAGCGCTATAGATATCGCTACAGAGTGATATGAGTCGGTGCGTCGACGGCAAGTCCACATGCTGGATACTGCCCACAAGATTGTTCGTAAAGCCTCTCACAATGGACGATAACGTCAAAATATAGACAACGTACACGCCCGTGAGACCGCCGACAAATTGGCTAAATGTCGCGAAAACACCCGTAGGTACTTCAGACGATACGAGAACGATCTCAGGACCGTCCTCAAAATGTCTACACGGGCGCCACCAAGCAAGTTTTGTGCGTCCATTATCACTGACGTCGCGCTCTGAAACGTACGTTCCACATTCAACTGACCACCAGGGAGAGGTCGAATTGAAACCATTCAACTTGAGAGAACAGCTCACCGTTTGGTCGCTAAAATATCTGGGCACAGGAGCGCCCTTGCCGTGTAAGTGCCAGACTCGAGGATAAATCCCTTCGAGGAAGACACTTGTCTGCTCGCCGTTGAGGATGCGCTTCAGCGCCTTTGTTTGAGTTTCATCAAACTCGTAATTAGTACCGTCTGAGTACAAAATGGGGTTATCAATCGGTAAATGACGCTTGAAGACCCAGCCAGTGGTCAATTTTGCCCCTTGTTCGAGTGATGTTTTCAGAGCCGCAAGAGAAGGCGGGGGCACGTTCCAAACACTGTCGCTGTCCTCCGCTAGGCAAGCTTCCTGAATTTGCCCTGGTTTGTTTATCTGCGGCATCGGACCGTCGGTTCGCAGATCCGACCATGCTTTAGATTCGATAGTCTTTCGGAAGCCACCATCGAAAATCGGATAAGTAAAAGTACTTTGAGCTCCGACCAGGCTCATGTTGAAGCGAATGTCGAAAACCGGGTTCACATCTACTTGTGGGTTTGAAGTGCTGAAAATGAAGAATGGCACGACGAGTAGGCCAAAAATGATCGTAAACAAGCCGCCTCCCTCGAAAAATACTTTTTTCCACATCGGTTGCGGCTCTCCAAATGGATGATACTTGTGATATGTGTTGTTTCGGACGTTGATTCTGAACAACGAACGCGAAATGTTCTCAAGCTTCAACCAGTCGTACAGATCAAGTGCGCTATCCGTGCACGCATATTCAAGCAGGACGCGCAGCTCGTACATGAATGGGAGAGAGAAGTATGCGATGAATGCACCGAAGGAGATCATGTCCGATCGTTGGAAAATCACGCTGTTCGTGAGCACCTCAGACGGGAAGCCACAGCGTATTTGTCGAGCACCCAGCGTGAACGACAGTGACTTCAGAAGGAAGAAGAACTGCACGTAAGAATGATGCGTCGTCGTTTTCTTGTAGAAAACCAACATCATAAATCCGATGTACCCGGTGTAGGTCAAGTAATGGTAGAAAACTTTCGCAATCTTCGCCTTTTTCATGTAGATGACGCCATCAACAACGATGAGTACCAACAAAACGAAGACAGCGGTGACGTAGTCAATTTTGAACAGGCCTTGAAAGTAAGTCTCGACTAAGGCGTCTGCGTCCGAATCCACCGTGCTTTGATAGAACATCGCCACAAATATTGTCGCTAAGACGTCAAAACAAAGAGTTGCTGTGTAGAAATCACCCCCTTCTTGATGGAAACCGCGAACAGACGTTATGCGCAACGGAGCACCTTCTGAATTTCCAGCTGCCTCACGGAGTTGCAGCGCCTCGATCGCTTTTCTCGCTTCGGCACTTGGACACAGGATAGAGTTCGGGGCAATGACCCGGAATACAGCAACGCAGTGATCTGGATTCTTGTGTAATCCGTTCGGATCGGCCTTCACAAATTCGAGAGTGTAGTAGGAGAGAGAATCACGTGTATCACCGTTCTCGAGCGCTTGATGATTGACGAGCGCCTCGTTCACGCGAGTGCCGATGTCGCTCCAGTCTGGTTCTACATCACTTGTGGCAAGGATTGATAAAGCAACGAACGAAGGACCATATTCGGCCTCTTGAGTGAGGATGCGTTGAAAGAAGTTATCAAATTCCGTCATCATACCACTTGAAACATTGATATGCAACAAAGAAGACGCCGTAGTGCCCTGCTGAGCGAAGTCCGCATCGATCTCCTCAAACTGCAATCTCTTGAAACGAGAAAATATAGCGCTGGCTGCGAATAGGTCGACGTCATCGTCTTGCTCGCACTCCTCTCCAAAAACATCTCCCAGGCGCACAGTTTGAGTGGAGCAGTACACCATCACCGAGACATAGGCCATGAAAGTGCCCATTATGGAGGGAACGAACGGACTAGTCGTGTTCTTGATGCCGAATACCATATCCACATGATCGCAGACCGTCCCAGCCGAGCAAGACATGGAACATGGAATCGTGACAGCATATGCGATGAGAATGGCAGCTTCTGAGTAGAGGAGTATGAACCGCCAAAACCCAGCAGGAGCCGAGGGATATGCCATCAATCCATACGCAATTATAGACGTGGGAAACACAATTGCGACGATCGAAAAGTCTATTGCGAATGCGAGCATCATGAAGAAATAGCACATCGAAAATTGAGGTGCCGTTAGCCATGGCCACGCTTTGAGGAAAGCACCAAACAGTAACCCTGCAGTCGAACTTTGATCTTGGAGCCAAGTATGAAGCAGCGTAGTGAAATCTTTTTCTTCATCGTCAAGGTTTTTCCGCATTCTTTTCTCGTAATCTCGAATTTCTGCTGCTTTGGCGTCACTTTTGTCAGATGACTCATCTTGAATATTCGGCATGGCCTCATCCTGAGCATCCATACCAACTGCATCTTCATCATTATCCCCTCGACGACGTCTGAGCGTATCGCTCAGTGGTTTGCGGTCGCCTGTAGATTTTCGATTACTTTCTCCTCTGCTTTCGACGGCCAGAATCTCGCGTGATAATGACGTGATTTCATTCCTGATATCCTCAACTCGCTGACGGCGACTTTCCTTCTCGATCAGCTTTGACAAGCACGTCTTTAAGCTCTCTCGAATCCAACCCCACTGCAATGCGTTTTTCATCATCTGATCAGCATCCAACGATTGTTTACGCATCGTCATCGCGGCATCATACGTCCGTTGCACAATGGTGCTTCGTAGAATGTGGACGATGGCGAACACGAGTAAATCTGGATTGAGCTGGCCTGCTTCCCATCCAAGCACAGTTCGTAGCTTGTAAAGACCGATTAACTGAAGTGTAGTGCACTCGGAGCCGATCGAAGCGTACCAGTCGCCGACTAAAGCCTCTAAAGGAGCTTGATACAGAAGCACGACTCCAATGACGGCCACATTGTAGAGCTGCAGTATTCTCAGGCCCATGCGTCCATCCTTTTGCAAATCTTCTCTCGCGCGAAGGAAGTAAAACGGTAGTATCAAGTAACCGAGATGCAGCACATCGCGCGAGAAGGTACCGAAGAACATAACCATGACCAGTGTCCAGTCGACAGCGTATCTCAAATAGAAGTAGCGCGTCCATTCCAAGATTGTCCATGTGGCACTTGCCTCCCAGGTGAGCGGTGCAAACAGAATATCAAGATAAGACGACTCCTCTGTCCTCGCCGGTAGAAGCGCTATTTGAGTCGGAGTGCGTCTTGGAACCATCGTCTTGACCAAATGTTCGATCATTTCTTCATCCAATTCTTCGGCACTGTCAGCTCGAGTCGCCTCGATTGTCAACCTTGAGCGCTCTTCCAGAGCGGCCAAAATAGCGTCCATCCTAAGCTGACAAGCAGCAACAAAAAACGCGCTAAAATAACCAAGCAGCATCATCTTATCGCACGGGAGCACTGAGAGCCATTGCTTTGTGTCCTGAGCGACACGTTGGTTCGAATCATTCGTGCCGAGAAGTGACCTCGCCGTAGACGGAGAAGAAGGAACATCATCCACCGCACTTTGAACAAGCTCTATCGACATAACGTATTGCCATAGCACGATGAGAGCGCAGACGGCCGTAGTGAAGCGCCACAAGAGCAGCCGATCACGCGGAGAAGACCCTAATTTACTGTTGACCAACTTCCACATCACTCCCAAGTAAATAAGAGAGAGCATGTTGGTCGACGCAATTCCAACGATGGCAAAAACCACGTACAAGAGACCTGGCATGAGGTTCGCCATCATACCCTCAAGTATCTCCGGCGCTAGAGAAACTAGCATCATCAGCTGACCCGCATTTGTTCGTGCATTGCGTTGAATACGTTTCTTGAATTCTTGAGAGCCCTTGCTAGCGGTACTGCCACTACGTTCAGATACATCAGATTCATTATCAGAAGCTTCATCAATTCCTTCTTCATTTGCAGCGTCCGATTCTGACTCTACTTTTTCTATCAAGTCAGCCTTTTTCTTCATCAGTAACTCTCTCGTGTCTCTCTGAGGCCAGAACAAGTGACACGGCTCTGGAGTACAACCAGACTTGAGCGCCGGCGGTAAGTTTCTCAACCACACGCGCGTAGTCTTAGTCAATTCTACTGAAAATATTACCAGAATAGGATACCTAAGCAATGATTCGTTTTGTGGGATGAACGATGATGTAGACTCTGGCCATTTGTGTGCACCTAAGAGGGTGAAAATACTCGCGTGGTCTCCCTGCTGCAACCATTGAATTTTGTATGCGTAGTCAATTATTGCTGTGATAAGCGCTACGGTACCAATCACCTCAGTCGGGCCATCGGTCGTTTTCATCGATAAAGACGCCGCGATGAGCGCTGCAAGCATGAACATTCCGAGCAAGTCGAGCCGCTCCAGACTGAATATGATTGCGCAGATGGTGACGACTTTATTTGCGTGCAAGATGACGGCGCGCTTCAAGAGCGGAAAGAATCCAAGTTCGGTTGAGGCCAAAGGCAATCTGCTGCGCTCTTCTGCGGTGTCGCGATAATTCAGAGCCCCAATATCGTGGAAGTATGTGACCACGAGTAACGTACTAGGTCCGGTCAATTCGGACATGAGCTTTCCTGTTTTCAAGTTTTGCGCAAGACCGACAGTGTTTTCAAGGAAAGCGTTGAGTTCGTCAGAGAAACCGAAAAGCCTGTACAGCGGGAAAGCCCCAAAGGCATATCGGCCGGCAAGATTGAAGAGACAAAACATCAACACTACGCGCCATCGTTTAGGATCGTTTTCAGAGTGACGCCTGACGATGCAAGTCAGACCAAGGAGTGCTAAGAGAGCCAAGTTGATGAGCGAGCATTCAGAAGTCTCAAGAGTGATCAAACCAACCAGTAGAATCAGGTATGATCCAAAGCGTGTAACCGCCTTAACGCACACGAGCGACATTTCGTAAACAATCGCCTTCCCTAGAGATATCAATGAATTCGTGAGCCCTTGGATTGTCGTTCCGTCCTCATCGTCTTCAGGTGTCAGGGCATTCAGAATCTTCGGCAAATACAATACAATGCAGATGACCACCAGAATGCACGCGAACGGTCCTGCAGCGCGAATCGTGCTGGAATGCTCCAATCCGATTATGCCAAACATCGTTTTCCATTCTGCCCTTTGCACGTTGAAAATATTCAAATGCTCGTTCATCACCCACACATACAAAACCGCCACGATGCCCGCAAGCGCCTGCGCTGTGAGATGAAGGACCGTTCGATCCCCTGGCTTGGCGATTGTGAACAAGAAGGCCAGGAGTAGAGCCGCATGGAGTAAGTCGGCGCGCGATAGTGCCACTATCCACAGAGTAAACGGCACGAGAAGATGTGAGATCAACTGAACAAGTGGCACGTCCCACGTTTGCCTATCCCGAACTGCGGGGCTGTACTCTATTTCGAGATCGTCAAGCGGAATATAGTCCGCTACTAGACCACTTTGCACCCTCTGTTCTAATTCGTCATCCGTTGGCGTTTCTCTGGCTAGTTTTGTGATCCAAGCGACGAAAGACAGCGTTGCTATGAGACTCCCCATGTACAACGCGTTCAGACCAGATTGCTCACCGTCGTGTGCTGGCAGCGCGCCAAAAACCTCGAGCAACACTCTAATTTTTGCGTACATGGACGCCAACATCACTGGTGGGATACATAGCAACATATACTCGCATACACTCCACACAGAAACGTACATGAAAATGAACGGGCCGTGGATGTTGGCGAAGGTTGAATGTCGCGCTGGACTTACAACGAGCATCAACCCAAGCAGAAGCATTGGGTACGCCGCGATGTTCACCACGAGCAGCGACGTAAACAGCAGCGCGAAACCAACCAAGATACCTCCAAATCTAGCGCCTACACGACGAACTATGCCCATGTCGTCGAACTCGATAGCGTTGTCCGCATCAGAAAGAGACTCACCCTCCATCAGAGGTCTGCTCATGTCGTCGTCTACCTCGACGTCTTGACGAATGTCACTCGACTGTACCGCACATAACCCCATGAAAAGAGTTCCTATCGCTATAATTTGTGTCAGCCGCATGAACCTCGCCAACGGTCCCTCGGATTTATCCATGGAATACAATCCGAGTAGCTGAGCCGACGACTGCCGCGCCGACGACTGCAACTCCGGCAGCTGATACATGTAAACCGCCATGAAGTGAATCGCGGTGTAACAGAGACACCCCACCGTGGCCACTTTCGGTAAGTTCAAAAGTCGTTCTCGCACCCCTTTCAATCTCCCCGCGCCGCTTCTGGGCAGGTGGACGCCCACGCGTCTCATCTCTGACACAAAGTACGCCATGACGAACAACAAGTACATCAACGACGACACCGAGGGTACCGTCACCGCGGCGACCGCCGCCGAGGCCACCGTCACCTTGATTATTGTCCTAGGCGACCCGTCTTTGTCGTCGAACGCTCCCACGCCGTCGATCCCCGCCTCCTCCCTCGCCCGGTCCACGTACAACTTGCTTGCCGCCGCCAACGCGATTCCGAAATACGGCAAGAAGAACAACGCGTAATCTATCGCCCCGTCCAGCTTTCCGAACCCCACATACCTCAAAACGTTCCCCTGCCACGCTTGTCGCGGCCACGACGGGCCAAACGTCACGTACGCCGCCTGCGTCGCGCAGTTCCCCAGCAAGACGAACGCGCTCAGGCCCACGACGCTCCACCACGCGTCTCTCTGCGTCGACGTCATCCCTCCCGTCCCCCGCCCGCCACCCTCGTGCACGCGCTCGATCGCGAACGCCGCCAAGAATCCAAAGCTCTGCGTTCGCGCGCGCGTCAGTCGTCAGCCATCGTGAAGATCCACATTCACATGCTTGGTGTTCACTCGCGATTCATCGCCGTGTTCACCCGCGTCGTTCACGCACCAGCACCGACGGACGCTGCGCCGCGGCGTGCGCACACGTCGCCGCGAGCACGACCACGGACGCCATCGCGCCGTGGACGTCCCGTCCCATCGCGCGCGACGAGTGGCGTCGGAGCGCGCGTTGGGAAAATCAGACGCCAGAGCTCGACGCGACGAAGAGCACGAGCGCGTCAGAGAAGGGCGTTGAGGCACCGTCGAGGCGTCGACGCGGACGACGACCGCGCGCGTGGACGTGCCATGTCAACGTTCGCGGCGTCGTCGAGTTCGAGGGTCCAAGGGAGTTCCCGCGCGCGGCGCACACGTCGTCGGGTTTCGTCGCGCAGACGATGTGTCGACGGCGACCGCGCGCGCTCTGGGACGACGACGACCGCGGTGGCGTCCACGGAGGGCGTGCTCGCGGTCCTGGCGTGCGCGGCGACTTTCGGTCAAGTTTTAGAGGAGAACACCTCGATCGGAGGTCGGATATCGGCGCCCGTGACGGCGATGGGGACGGCGAGCGCGTTGGCGACGTTGGGAGCGCTGCCGACTGCGAGCGCGGCGTACGACGTCGTTTGGGGATGGTTGATGCCGATGGGGGTGGTGTTGGCGCTGTTGGAGCGGCGTGGAGCGATGCGTCGGGAGGACTCCGCGGAGAGCGCGCGCGTGCTCGGTGGATTCGTCGTTGGCGCGGTCGGGACGGTGGTCGGCACACTCGCCGCGTGGTTTGTTGTCGGACGCGCGCTCGGTACTGAGGGATGGAAAATCGCCGCGTGCCTGTGCGCGAGCTACATAGGGGGGTCGGTGAATTTTGCCGCGACCGCGCAGGCGGTGGACATGATGAGCTCCGGCGGGAAAGCTCTCCTGAGTGCTGGGATGGCTGCCGACAACTTCGCCATGGCGTGTTATCTTGGCGTGCTTTTTGCAATTAAAACCGACGGTCCGGACAACGTCGAGGGCGAAAGCACTGATGGCGCACCTCATGAAGAGCACGATGAGGTCACAAAATCTTCCATTATCGCTTCGTTAGCAGCGGCACTACTCATTCTGCGCGCGTCGCACGCAATAGCAGCGATGGTGGGACAAGTGAGCTTTACGCTCGGCATCGCATGTCTCGTGGCGCCAATCTTCTCTTTAGCGACGAGCGTGATCGTGCAGTCGATGAGTTCAGTTCAAAAGAATTTATGCAGTGTTCTGCGATTCTATGGGGCTCAATCCATGAGCGGTGCGCTGATGCTGATGTTCTTCGCTACACTTGGCGCGATGGCTGATTTGCGTTCAGTATTCACCGCGCTCGCTGGCGGCTCGATGCTTACGTTCATTGGAATTCTTCTCACAGTTCAGTTGCTCTTCACCCTCGCAGTGGGGCACAGAATTTTCAAACTTCCGCTTTGGGCTGTGTTGATCGCGGCGAACGCGAACGTCGGTGGACCAGCCACTGCTGCCGCGATGGCTTCCGCGAAAGGATGGAAGCGCGCAGTATCGCCCGCTATCGTGACTGGTATTTTCGGGTACTCCATCGCGACATTTATTGGCGTCGCAGTTGGAAGAGCGGTGGCTTAGATTTGTTGTAGTTTAGGATTGTAGGGTTGCTAATTTCATTACAGTACAAGGGAAGAAGGGATTCATTACGCCTTCACTGGCTCACGTTGTGTATCCGCCAGCGGTGCCTGCGCACTGACTTGCGCGAGCTCGTTCGCTCCGACCTTGAACGCTCCTGGATTGATAGCCACTGTCTTCGTAGTGTTGTTCGTCTTGTAGATACCGACCAATCTATCGGCGAGTTCAAACATGTTGTTACGCAAAGAAATGATGATAAACTGGGCATTCTTGGTTCGCTCCTTGATGTAGTGGCCAACAATTGAAACATTCTTGAAGTCGAGCGCGGCATCGATTTCGTCCATAACGTAGAGTGGCGTTGGTTTGTAGTGGTGCAAAGCAAAGACCAACGCGAGGCTCGAGAGCGTCTTTTCTCCACCCGATAAGTTGGCGATGTTCTTCCAACTCTTCTTTGGCGGGCGCACGCTGAAAACAATGCCCTCAGAGAACGGATCCAAGGAATCAACAAGCTCGAGTTCAGCGTCGCCACCGAGTGTGATCATCTGATACATTTCCTTCAGCTTGAGCGAAATAACATTGAATCCGTCCATAAACTCATTCAGGCGCTTTTGCTTCAGCTTATCGTACTCTTCACGAGTATCATCTCTCTCCTTCGTCGCCGCAGCGAGCTCCTCAACACGTTCTTCATACTCCTGCTCTTTCTTCGCGTACGCGTCGATAGAGGACATGTCGGGCTTCGCAGCTGCGAGCTCTTCTTCAAGAATCACCGCCTTTTCTTGCATCTCGTCCGTCGTGTGCTGCGCTAGATCTTCGTCACTCAGTAACTCTGGAGCCTCACCTTCCGGATACAGCGTTGTGCGCTCCTTCATCACCTTGTTGATTTCCTTATTCCAGTGCTTTTCCTTGTCTTTATTTTCCTTTTCAACCACGACGAGATCCTCCAGCTTCATCTGGATGTCCACCTCAACGCCTCGAATCGTGCCAACGACCTTCATGATCTCATCGAGCGCCTTCTGTGCCTCGGCAACTTCGCCACCCTTTGCCTGCAGGAGCTGATTGAGTTCCTCTTGCGATTCCAGAATAGCGCCGCCCGCGTTTTCGAGCTCGGCCAATTCTCCTTTGACGCGTTCGATATCAGTAGTCTTTTGTTCGACATCAGCTTTGGCCTCCTCGATGTCCTTGGAAAGGCGGGCAGTTGTCTTCTCGTGAGACTTTGACTTTGCGCGCTTCTCAGTCAAGCCGTCCGATGCAGTGGTGATACCCACGTTGAGGTCTTTCACCAGAGCTCTTTGCTTTCGCAAGGTCTCGCCACCGACGTTATTCATCGCCTCTTGCAGAGACGCCTCCTTCGCCTTGAGCGCAGCCGCACCAGCGGTGACTTCATCCAGCGCAATTTTTGCCTGCTTGACTTGTTCCTCAAGCCTCGACAGTTCCGCAGCATCATCTCTGCTCGCTTCGTGAGCCGCCTCGAGTTCAATCAGTCGACTGGTTAAGTCAGAAACCTTTGCCTCAGCAGCTTCAAATTCAGCCTGCAACTTGGGCAGGGCGCGCTCGAGCTTGTTGACCGTGGCTTCAGCGTCACGAGCTTCTTGAAGGGAGGCAAGCGCCAACTTTCGAGAGCGTTCGTAGAGAACTCCAGCCTGTGCAAGCTCTTTCTCAGCCGCCTTAATCTCTTTCGCCACCTCAGCGGCGTCTTCGAACTTAGGTGCTGCATTACCGACGCGCATTCTACCTCTGCGTGGCCTTGAGCCACCACCACTCATCGTACCGCTCATCTCAAAGAGCTGTCCTTCCAAGGTGACAACACGTCGTCGCTTCTCGCCGTACGCCAAGCGCGAGGCTTGCTCGACATCACTGGCAACCAAAGTATCGCGAACTCCAAAGTAAAAGGCAGCGGCGAAACGTTCTTCGGCCGGTTTGATGAGATCGATCAGACGGGGCACGTTCTCTGGATTGGAAGCGTTCGCGCGCATCTTTGCCACTAAGTGCTTCTGTTTGTCAAGAGCGAGAAAGTTGCCGCAGCCCAAGTTATTCTTTCGAAGATAAGATACACAATGCTGAGCATCGGAGGTAGTTTCGACCAAGATATAATCAAGAGGAGCACACGCAGTCGACACGGCGATATCGTACTTTTTGTCGATCGCACCGAGGTCGCCAAGGCGTCCGAGCACGCCCTTGAGCGCGCCGGCGGCTTGAGCATCAAGCAGCGCTTTCACCATGACGTCCTGGGTTTTCTCGGATTCAGCGGCAGACCGGCGCTGCTCGAGCTTACCGCGAATCTCTCGTGTCTCGGCCTGTGCGGCAACCTCCTTCTCTTTCGCTTGAGCCTCGGCGGCTCGCGCTTTTTCCGCACGCGCTCGCCCTTTTGATAACTCCTCTTCCTCCTCACTGATGGTTTTCTTCAACTCGACAGCCTTGGTGCGAGCCTGCTTTTGACCGATTCGAGCGTCGTTCAGCGACTTTTCCACTTCAGCATGCTTTTCAAGAAGAAGGGCCCGCTCGGCCGTGGCGACGTCGTAATCTCCTTGCGCGGTCGCGAGCTTATTCTCCCACGGCGCCAACTCTTTTTGCACACCATCGAGGTCAGCGCCGATTTCAGCCATCTCACCCTTCAGACTCTCGAGGAGAGCGTCCAACGCAGCCTCTTCCTTGCCGATTCGTGCCTCGAGATCTGCTTTTTTCGACTCCAAAGTTGGGATATCTTTCTCGATCTGCGCGCTTTCGGCCGCCATGCTCTTGAGCTTCTCCGAATCCTTGGCGATCTTGGCCTCCATCTTCTTCACCGCCGCCTTCATGTCCTTCAAGTCTTGTCGGAATTTGGCGTCCTTACGCTCCAAATCACCCATATCCTTCTTGCTCTTGTCAAAATCAGCTTGAATCTTCGACAATTCACCAACTAGCTCGCCCTTGCGCCCTTCTGCGGTCTTCAGCGCCTCCTCATGCTCAGAGTGCTTGGTGCGTTCCTCCTCGAGCTTCTGCGTAAGCGCGTCCTTGTTCTCTTGGAGCGTGGCCAAGTTGGCCTGCGTCTCTTTGATGAAAAGCTGATACATCGTACATCGTGCGAATATGAGCTCTCTTTCCTTCTCCAGGAACGCCTCTGCTTCCGCCTTGACGATCGTGAGCGCATCCTTCTCACCCTCAACCAGCTGCAAACGGTTCACCATGATTTCTCGTTGCTCGTTCAAGGTCTCCAACTTTTTGCTCGCTTCTTCGATGGGCTCGACGTATTGTAGCGTACCGATGATGTCTTCCAAGTACTCCAACAGCCCCTCATCTCCGGGCGCCGCTCCCTTTGGCTTCATCATGGAGATTTGTTCGACCTCACCCTGCAAGATGAGGAAACGATTGTTGTTCAAATCAACATCCTTCGACTTTAACAATTTCGTCACCTCCGTGAACGAGCTCGTCTTGTCGTTCACGAAGTACTTGCTCGTGTTGTCTCGATACGCCTCGCGAGAGATGACGAAATCCGAGTTCGGTACCACGTCGTATCCCTCTTCATCGTCAGCGTGATCGATGATTTCGTGAAAGTGCACCTCCACTCGCGCGTGTTGCAAGTTTCTGAAATCCGTCGAGTTGTGAATCAACTCGCTCACCTTGTTCAATCTCAGCTGTTTCGCCCGCTTCCCGAAGACGAACATCATCGCATCGATAACGTTCGACTTTCCGCTCCCGTTTGGTCCGACGACGGACGAGAACGACTGCACGCGCGATTATCGTCAGTCTCGCGTCTCTCGCTCGCGCGCTCGCGCGTCGCGCTCTTCATCTTGTCCTCTCCACGCACCTTGTGAAACGGTCCCACGTGCTGCGCCCCCGCATAGGACTTAAAATTCTCCAGAACCATCTTCTTGATCGCCAATCGCGGGCGCATCGCGGGCGTCTTCGAGGTCTCGGCGCTCTCCGTCATGCCTGCGCTCGCTCGACGTGAAACGACTTTGTGCCCTCCGCTTCCTCCTCGTCCTTCTGACGACGACTCGGAATCAACGAGCCGAGAGCGATGCGGTCGAGCGCGCGACGATACCTCGCTCGGTGCGTCTCGCGTCTCGCGCGCGTCGATCGATGCAGCGTCGACGACGACACTCGCGCGGGACGAACGGCTGTTTGACGATTCGGGTCGTTCCCCTGGTCGATGTCTTCTTGAGTCATTACTCTTGATGGAGTCAGTATTCAGTATACGACCATGTCAAATCGCTATCAAATCGCCATCAAATCCACCAGCTGTCGGTCGGTCGGTGGGAATTCAAAAATCAACCACGCCTCCGCACTCGTCGACGGGTTCGTCGCGCGATGTCCACCGCGGACGAACAGGCGGCGCGACCGAAGCGTAAGGCATCCGAGTCCCTGAGGGCGCGGCAGGGTCGAGGTCGGAGCGCGCCCTCGAGCGCGCACTACGTGGGATACGTTCAGGATGACGAGACACCGGAAATGATTATGAAAAAGTTTGAGGAGATGGAGCGCATACGCTCGGCAAAGGGCGCGATGAGGGGCGAGAACGATGACGGCGATAAGGAGAATAAGGAGGGTGCGACGAACGTGAGCGATGACGCGGCGATGGAGGACGGTGACGGGGCGTTGAGCGAAGAACAACTGAAGGAGTTGTTCAAAAACACGTCAACGTTCTCGGTGCGAGAGGCGGTGCGAGACTCCAACGCGCTCTACGGAGACGCGATCGTGCTCGACGATGGCGCCATGTACTTCTCCGACGAGGAAGATGAGGACGAGTTCTGGGAGACTCTGACGGGGAAGAAGCGCCGAGGCAAGAAGGGACCGCGCGCGCCAAGAGCACCAAGAGCACCAAGAGAACCCAAGGCGGCGAACTCGCACATGATCACGGCGTACAATAGTGATCAAGGATTGTTCTTGCGCAAGAAGAAATTCATTGATCCGGCGGAGCCAGTGATCATCAAGGTTCCACCGCACCCGATCACCACGAGCTGGGGACGAGTGATTGAACCGTACGTGCCCAAGTCAGTGCGAGAGGCAAGGCTGGCGCAAGTTCCGGACTGTGTGCACATGCAAAAGAATATCAAGTCAATGAAGTACGAAACGCTGGGCACGGATTATTTGGGGGTACTGCTTAACCCGCCGTGGGACATTGAGAACTCGCCGGATCGCGGCGACGTCACCGTCGATGACATTGAAGCCATTCCGCTCGAGAAACTCACCCCACTCGGCTTCATCTTCATCTGGGTCGAGAAGGAGAACTTATCCAAAGTGTGCGACGTCATGCATGAGAAGAATTTCGTTTATGTGGAAAACTTAACGTGGGTGCATCTCAAGCCAAACAACACAATCGTCGAGTCCGCGGCCCGCTATCTTGGTCGCTCGCACCGAACACTTCTCATTTTCCGACGGGATGTTCGCGACAAACGATTCGTTGAAGGGAAGAAGATCGAATTGCGGCATCAGCGTAACTCGGATGTCACGCTTGACATCATCCAAACGACGAAGAGCGGCCGTCGCGCCATTCCCGAACACGTGTACAAGTCTATCGAGACTCTTTTGCCGAAGGCATATGAACCGGGCACGCCGGGTAAACTTCTCGAACTTTGGGCTGAACCAGGCGCTAAGCGTGCTGGCTGGACGTCTGTTGCCGATTCGCCGTAGTAGGAAAGTTAGCTTTTGTTGGTGCGAGATTTGTGATATCATCAATGGGTATTTTACAACACGTCCTCAAATGTTGTGAGGACATTTTTCATCTTTCGCACGCGTAGAGCGGCGAATAGTGTCTATCCGTGCAGGCTGTGACGTGAAGTTTGTCTTGCCAGCGTCCAGCGAACTCGATAATCTCGTGGTAGAACAAGCACGTATTGCGCAGCTCCTCATCGGTGGAGTTCTCAGACAGCCAAGCCCACGCCTTGTATGGATGATCAGCATCAGCCGCGTAGTCTCTGCACTTACTCGGATTCTCCGCGTTCCCGACTCCAAGTGGCGTCTCGTACTTCACTTGGTCCAAACCAATGAGACCACGCACGATGTTTGGATGCTCGCTTGCAAGATTAGGTTGCTCCACAGGCAGCTGGACTTTCTCCGCGGGTTTCACCGAGTCCTCCGACACTGTTTCCTCCACCTGTTGCGCTTTCTCTTCCGATTTTGCTGACTCTTCCGATTTCGCCGACTCTTCCGATTTCGCCGACTCTTCCGATTTTACCGGCTCCTCTAATTTTACCGGCTCCTCCGACTTGACTTCGTACGTGGGTTGCACTTTGCTCTCGGTCGACACGTCGACAACGTCCGCGTGAGCCGCGGTGGCTTGCCCACATGCATTCCACGGCGAAAGCTCCGCGTCAATGCAACCGACGACAGGTACTTGAGGTGCTGCTTGCGAGAGCCCTTTGTGAGCCTCAAAATCTCTATAAAATAAGCACGTCGATCTCAAAGACGCGTCCTTGTCGTAAAGCTCGTTCACGTACGCGAATGCGACGTACTTATGTCCCGCCGTATTAGCATAGTCTCGGCACTCAGCCGAGTTCTTTGACTGCCCTCTACCAATCGGAGTCTCAAACACCACCTCAGGTCGAGGTAAACCGCGGACGAGGTTTGGACCACTGGGGGTTTCTGCCTGTGAGAGCGAAGCAACGTCGTTTGATTCCTTTGTGGTACCAACAGATTCCCGTGGTAAGTTGCAGGCCGATAAAGGGGAGGCTTCCATGCTAGTGCAACCAATGACGTGGACGTCATCTTTAGGATGTCCCTGGAACGGTCTAATGTGACGGTAGTACACGCACGTATCCCGCAGGTCATCGTCCTGCGATTTACCGTTCACGTAGCCCCACGCTGGGAAACCGTGAGCCTCTGCGTACTTTCTGCACTCACCAGCCCAGAAAGCATTATTCCTCCCGCCCGGCGTTTCGTACGGCGACATCTTGATGTCCGGCATTCCCATCAGAATGTTATTGCGATGAACGGGACGAGTGTGTTTCGTATGCTCGACCTTTGGCTCAACCGTGTTCGCGCTCGCCGCCTTGATCTCTTCAGCAGTTCGACTCGGCTCGACGACCGACCCCTCCGACTCCTCGGGCTGCGCCGATGTCAGCGTGAACTCGTTCGATGACGCCGAGCGCGCGTCCTCGTAGTCTTGTTCCATCCCCGGACGAGCGACCTCGCTTCGAGGTAGGGATTTTCCCACCAACACCCCGAGCAAAAGCGTCGTCGTGCCGACGGCGAAGAGACGCTTGTTCCACGTCGACGTCGACGTGCGTGGACGCTCTTGACGCTCATCGAGGATGTACGCTCGCTCTTCGTCCGACATGGTGGCGAACGCCGCGCGCGTCGACGTGCGGTTGCACCGAGACTGGGCCGATGGTGTTGAGACCCGAGATCATGGGCTGGCATGGATACAACACAACAAACAGGGCAGAGGGCGTTCGCGGAGCGATGGATGAAAGTCGTATTAAATCCAAGGGAAAAGGAAATATTCGGAATAGAACAGAGCCCAGATGTCGCGGTAGTACTGCTGGATGGCACCCTGAGAGAATTTGCCGCGCTCGAGCGCCAGAGTTTTGACTACGAGGAAGGCGGCGAGCAGGGCGTGACCACCGATCATGAGCGGCTGGACAAACCACGTCGGATTCTTGAGCGAGAATGCTATAGCGAAGGCGTAGTTGGCGAGCAATAATCCGGAACCGATGTACGACACGGCCTTCACCCCCAAACGCGTGGAAAACGTTTGGATCTCAAATTTCAAATCACCCTCCACGTCTGGCAAGTCCTTGGTGATGGCGATGACAGTGGCAAAGGTGGTGACAAAGATGGTGATGAACGTGATGGCCGGGCTCCAGACGAACGGCAGACCAATCGCAGCTCGAGTGGCGTGATACACGCCAAAGTTGAGCAAGAAACCGCGCACGCAAGCGATGATGAGGAACGCCGGAAGCGCAAATCGCTTCAGGCGCAAAGGCGGCACCGAATAAATGGTTCCGAGGAACAAGCCAAAGCAGTACAATTTCGTGATCAGAGGCACAAAGTTCGTGGCCACGATCATGGCACCTCCTAGAGCAGTGATAGCGCAGAAAGTCCACGCGGCGGCGAAGGACAACTCCCCAGAAGCCACCGGCAGGAAGGGCTTGTTCACCTTGTCGATGTCGACGTCGTAAATTTGATTGATCCCGACGATGTATCCGTTTCCCATGAGAAGCGCCAAGAGCCCGAGCAATGCGCGTGGGACCAGGCTCAACGTGATCAACTCCGGGTTGGTCATCAAAATTTTCGACACGATCGCCGTCGTGCCGAGCAACGTCCCACGAATCGTGTGCGGTCGCACAAATTTCCAAATAGCCGCCCCCAGCGCGCCGAGCTTCTTCGTCGCCCCCGCCCCCGCGTCGGCCGAGGACGCGTTGCGGACGACGACATCACCCCGACGCGTCCACGTCGTCACCAGCGGGCGCTCGGCGCGCGCGCGCGCGACCGTCGCCCCGACATTCACGCCCCCCACTTCGACCCCTCGACCATCACGCGCGCCCGTTCGCGTCGCGCGTCTCCCCACGGTCGTCCCCCTCGCGGTCGCCCGCGTCGCGCGCGTCGACGTCGACGTCACGCACGCCCCTCGATGCGTCGCCCGCGACATCTCGCGCGCGCGCCCACACTGCGGTCGCTCGCGCGCGACGCCCGTGACGTGGACGCGCGCGACGTCGCCGTGATGTCGCACCACACGAGTCACGAGTCATGAATCGAGACACGACGACGCGACGACGCCTCAACCCTGGTCCCCGACCGACGCACGCGAGCGGTCGCACCGAATCCACGATCGATGATCGAGCGAGCGATCGATCGAGCGAGCGAGCGATCGCGGCGTGTCGTGTCGATCGATGATCGATCGATCGATCGATCGACGCGAGCGATCGATCGACGCGATCGACCGGCGCGGCGTCCACCGCGCTCGGCGTCGCGCGGTGGCCGGGACGCGGTCGAAACCGCGCACGGGGCGCGCGCGCGACGGGGAACCGAACGATCGAGGACGTCGATAGAGACACGAGATGGCGATGCGCCTTCGCTCGACGACGACGACGACGACGCGGGCGAGCGCGGCGACGCGAGGGACACGGGCGAGGCACGGCGGAGGGTGTGTGCGCACGCGCGGGAACGTCGTCGTTCGGGGACGAGAACGCGACGACGGGGAGGAGAACGTGATGACGAAGATGGAAAAGCTCGCGGAATCGATCGGGGTGTCGCTCGGACCGATCGGGATGACGCTGCAGCAGGGAGAAAAGAAATCGGAGAAGAAGACGCGAGAGCGAGACGGCGAAGAGAGCAGAAACGCGATGAGCAAGGTGGAGAAGCTCGCGGAATCCATCGGGGTCTCACTCGGCCCTATCGGGATGACGCTGCAGCAAGGAGCGGCGAGCAAGGCGACGAAGTCGAGCGGCAAGAAGGATGACGACGACGAGGAGGAAGAGAGCGAGCGACCGAAGAGCATCGCAAATATGTCCACAGCGGAATGGAGAGAAAGATTTGTCAAAAAGGATGGCACGGTGGATCTGTGGCTCGAAGACGAGTACAACATTGCGTCGCGCAAAGCTGGGGCGGTTGAGGCGGACTCACTCGTGAACATAGAAAACTATGCGTGGAATGGTATGAAGACTGTGGACGTCAACGCGCCGGTTCGCAATGTGAAAGTAACAGATCACGAGAGCGGTGAGCTCCTCGAGTTAGACGTTCCGGAGGGTAGATACATCTTGTTCGAGGCGGAACAGCAAGGTTGGGTGCTTCCGAACGCGTGTCGCATGGGTGGGTGCACGAAGTGCGCAGTGAAGATTAGCAAAGGCTCTGTGGAGCAACCTGAATCTTTGGGCCTGTCCAAGGAACTCAGAGATCAAGGCTACGCATTACTGTGCGTCGCCAGCGCGACATCTGATGTCGAGTGCGTGACGCAAGACGAAGAAGAAGTGTACATGATGCAATTCGGTAAATCGTTCGCGGAAATGGCCTTGGATAAGAACTCAAACAGCGTGGTTCGCGATGACTACGCCTTTGAAATCGCTGACATGGATGAATGAATTCTCGGTTTGGCGCGCTATACCTACATGTAAGTCACATTCTAAGATTTTCCTATCGTTTTCTATTTCGTTTCTTCCTTGTCAAATTCGCTCTCGAGTTGTTTCCCGCGTGGTGGACTGGTCACTGACTGTCTCTGCGCAAGGAATTTCGTCCGGGGAGAAACCATTTTGAACTCATTCTCGGGCGCAGTAGTCACCGGCAAACTCCCGGGAGAACGGATCGGTGATATCTTCTTTGTTTTGTTCTTGAGCTCCTCGTGCAGCGCGTCAACAGTATCGAAGTCTCGCATCGGTTTGAGTTTCGGACTCAACTTGTTTTTGAGTCGCTTGTTCTCTGCCGATGCTGTCTCCAGTCGGGTTCTCAACGCTTCCGCAGCTTCTTCAGCCTTGATGGAATCGCGTACTTTATCGAAAATCGTCAAGAAATCGCTCACAACGCGAATGATGTGCATCGGATTGTCCGGTTTGTATGGCTCACCGTAGAAAATGGTCACTTGCTTGGCGGACTCCACCGCTTGTGAGGCCAGCTCTTGGACATCCTGCAGTTCGTCGTCCATTTCCTCCGCGAACGGCGCCATTTTGCTATGGAAAGAACTGTGAACCTCCTCACTCAACACACCTGCGGCGTGCAATATTTCTTCCTTAACCTTTACCAATCCGGCCTGCAGCTTTCCGAGCAAGACAGAGGTCGCCTCAACTGACAAATTGGAAGCCTTCTTGACGACAGCGAGATGGGTGGAGAGGTTGGCAATCTCAGGATCAGTCTTGAACAGCTCCTTGTACACGAAGTGTAACAGCGACGTTTTCCGGTCGACCGCCTTGAAATCCTTAAGCCGCAAGAGCATATCTAGCCTGAAACCGGATGCGGAGCCGCGGTACGAACCAGTATTCAAGTGGTTCCCAACGACCAAGATCCCCTTCAGAACCTTCACAAAAAGAGCACTCTCCTGCAGACAACTCGAGGCTTCAGACAGTAATACGTAGTCACTACGGACTTTCGCGAGCATATCCACCGTGGTTGACTTATAGAGCAGAGCATTCACACGACCCTCGAGCCGAGGTACTTGCATGATGTGCATGAAATATTGCTCAACGGTTGCCAGTTCTTCCTTTTCACCTCTGTAGTCCATTATGAGTTGGATCTCCTTCGATGTCGGCAATGATGACGCGATCACTTCGAGTTGCTCCGTGCGCAAAACTTCTTCATCCATAGACAGCAAAGCCGCTTTGATGTTGTCGAAAGGTATTTTCAAACCAGCGAGCTGAATGCTGATGTTGAGAGAGCGTTTCTGATCAATCAGCGTGACACTCGTTTGCTTCTTTGCAGCAGCCTTAGCCTTAGCCTTAGCCTCTTCTATGGCGAACATTTCATCTAAAATTTCCAAATTCAGTGCCAACTCATCGCTCCCCGCTTTTTCCCACACGGTACCACCTATCGAGACTCCCTGAAGCTTCTCCCAGTGCAACATTTTCACCTTTTTTCGCGCCTTTTGTGCCCACATATGCGCGTTGGTTATCGCAGAGATACCAAGCTTTGGCGGTGGAGGCGGAGGCGGGGGCACACCTCCCGCTGCCTTGAAACCTGGCGGTGGTGGCGGAGGCGGTGGAGCAGACGGTGCTGAAATACCTGAAGATTTGAATCCTGGAGGTGCTGGCGGTGGAGGCGGAGGCGGAGGCGGGGGCATACCTCCCGCTGCCTTGAAACCTGGCGGCGGTGGCGGAGGCGGAGGAGCAGGCGGTGCTGAAATACCTGAAGATTTGAATCCTGGAGGTGCTGGCGGTGGAGACGGAGGCGGAGGCGTAACGCCTCTTGCGGACTTGAACCCGGGAGGAGCTGGAGGTGGCGGGGGAGGAGGAGGTATGGATGTTCCGACAGTCTTCGGTGCGTTGGACTTGAAACCAGGCGGGGGAGGGGGAGGGGGAGGGGGAGGCGCAACGTTTCCACTTGGCTTTGGTGGAGCCGGTGGGGGCGCAACTGGTGGCGCAACTGAGCCAGATGTAGGCCTTGACGGCGGCGGCGGTGGTGGCGGCGGTGGTGGTACTGGAGCTTTCGGCGCCGATGGGGGCTTGGTTGGGGTGGGATTCGTCGACTTTCCTGCGACGTGATCCAAATTGAGTTTTGCCTTCGTCTCTTCAAGTTTCGATGTCTCACGAGGTGACGGCAACTCTGGAATTGCACCTAGAATAGTCTCCATCTGATCAGCGAATTCACTCGCTGGACTACTATCACCAAGGAGAGACTTTGCGAGTTTACTGTCCGCTCTCAGAACCGTACCAGGCTCAACTTCATCGGCAACCTCAATGTCTTTCATCAGCTTGAGAAGCTGTTGAGTGAAACTGTTGCGCGCTGATGCATCTTCCAAACCCCGGATCTGATGCAGTTTCTTCTTCTTCATCAGTATGGCGAATTTCATCAAAGTTTCGATTTCTTGCTTAACCGTGAATGATCCGTCATCGCTCACATCCATTTCAGCTTCCGCTTTCTCAGATATTGTCGCAACGCTTTTCAGCGCTTCCTTGAGCGCGCCATCATTATACAACGCGAGAAGTTGATCCCTTTCCTCGGACGTCAACTCAACGTAAGACGCCGTCATTGGAGTCGCAACCGCTATGTCTAGATCGATTGACGGCAGAATCGCGTCAGAACTCGCGTCGATATCGCCTTGGTCACTTGTTTCGCCTCGTTGCAGCGTTCGTTTGCTTTCATCTTTGTCAGCACTCGTGTTCACGGTTAGCTCATATTCACCATCTCCAGAAGTATCCCGGTCGCCGTAACTATATGCACCCCTAATATCGTGAACGAACTTGTCGTCGTACGCTTCTTCTACGCCATCATATTCGCCATCAACGACTTCGTCACCCTTGCTGCTCGGCCGAACTGCTCCAGTTTCAGTGGCATCGAATGAATGCCTTTGAGGCGTCCTGGAAGCCGCCGTACGCGGTCGCACTGTGGAATGTATCAGCGGAATAACCCTCTGAATTCTTTCATTCGCTGTGTGCACTGCTGAAGCGAGGACATTCGTTGCCTCCGGCACCAACACGCCACGCGCCATTTCGTCCGGTCGCCTTGCCACACTCGACCTCCGCATACGTCTCCCTGGTTTGCGCCTAATGATGATCGGTACTTCCTCTTCACTAAAGTCATCATCTTCAGCAGCATTTCGTCTCCCGACAGCTTCAACGTCTTCGTCCTCAAAAACGCCGGTGACGTCAAAGTCTTCGTCGCCGCCGTAGTCTGAAGATGAGCTCTCATCCTCCCGAACGACGTCGGGCTGTCTCCGTCTATTTTTCACGCGACCCCGCAACTTCTTCTTCCGAGCTCTCTCTGCGTCTTCATTACTTCGCTCGACCGGATCCCATTTGAACGTGGGAGGCAAGACTGATGGCAGCCAGAAATCAGTGCTGTGTTCCTGTAGCCAGGGTGGAAGCTTGGATTCATCCATCAACACTCGCGAGCGTGGATTTTGTCCAGACTTGGCTGCTGCAACACTGCGCAATATGTCTGTCGGGTTGAAAAGAGACTTCTTGAGTACCTCAGATGGCTCCTTAGTTTCATGGAGTTGAAGCGTTGATTGTCGCCGTTCACTTGGGAATGAAATAGTCTCTTCGCCGTCGTCACGGGAATCCGCGGACATTTTGATCGTTGGCCGTGCCTCCACAAATACTATTTGTTTTTCATGCAGAATCAGGTAGCGGAACTCTCTTAGCAGAGTACCGACGAGACGGACCGCATACTCGTCGTGCTCGCGCGAAACCTTCTTCGCTCTAAACAGTCGCGGCGCAAACAACTCGGCCAACTCTCGCAACGGGGCATCCTCCTCTATCGTCGTTGTACTACTGCGTGCAACGGCAAATCCGAACAGTGCGCGATGCAGGAGTTCCACAAGAGCCTTCATGACCTCCATTCGTCCAGGCGGTACCCGCTCGAGGAGCACGCGAAAGACATAGAGTCTCGACTCGTAGTGCTCCGTCTTGATCGCCGTCACGAAGTGCTCGTGAGTTTTACTCGGTACCAACGAGTCCGATAACGCGTCTAGTCGCCTCAGCATCACCTCGAGCACCACCGCGGGCTTCGGTCGTCGACCTCGCACGTTCCCGTCGCACGCGATGAAAATCTCCCCCTCTTCGAGCGCGCGGGCGCCGTGCGACTTGTTCACCATCGCCTCCGCGAACAGCTTCGTCCCCAGCTCCACTCCGTGCGTTCTCAACGACTCGCAGCATCTCTTGATCGCTCGCAAGCTCTCGGCATCTCTCAGAACGATCGATTCGCTCAGTTCCAAAGCCGAGACCAACCTCGGATTTGAAGTCAGTTGACGCTCCATCGTCTTCGCTTCAACGGACGTCGTCTTCGCGTCGTCTTCGCGTCGTCTTCGCCTCCGTCCCCGGACGGGGTCGAACGAGCGCGTATCTTCGCTCTCACTCGATCGCGCGCATCGTCGCTTCGACGTCCGCGACGTGCGCTGTGACGCTCGAGCGTCTCCCGTGCCTCGCCCCGCGACCGGTGCACCGGTCGCCCACGCGTCTGGTCCGGCGGTTGAACGCTTGCAACGCGCGCGCACTCGCCGTCGTGCGCGCGAACGGAGAAGATGTTCTCATTCTCGTCCTACGGCGCGAGCGCGGAGACGTACGCGATCGATCTCACCTACGCCGGCGTCGTGAGGGACGGAGACGACGGGAGGAACGAACGACGGGTCGAGGTCGCCACCACGCTGACGTTCGAGGCGAAAGATGATCCCGAGGAAGTCATAGACCGAGTGGTGAAGCAGCGACAGGAGCTACCGTACGACACGGACGAACGCTACGTGGGGTGTAAAGTGGTGTGCGGCACGACGAACGTAGCGGTGACGCTGACGGTGGAGAAGTTTCAAATCAAACCCATCGCGTGCGCGGTGAGCGCAAACGGCAAGGCGACGTCCCGGCGAGCGCATCCGACGCTCACGGCGGTGCTTAGGCACTGTCACCTCGGATCTCTTCGGAAACTGGCGGTTCGAGACGGTTTGTTTTTCGCGGTCGTCGAGGCGAGGGATAAGTGGGCGTCCGTACGCGAACTGGACGCGTCCAGTAACGGGTTGGAGACCGTGCCAAAGGAGGTGTTCACACGCTTCCCATACGTCGAGCTGCTCAAGCTAGACGAGAACAAGTTGGCTAGCTTACCCGCTCTGAACTCGCTGTCACTTCTGAAAGAGTTATACGCCAACGGGAACGCAATCTCGACGGTTCCCGTCGATCTCGTGGAGGGCGTCGACTTGGAGGTGTTGTCTCTCGAGTTTAACCGTCTGAACAAGCTGCACATCAAACTGAAGGACTTGTCAAAGCTACGAGTGCTACGAGTGCTCGAGAATCCGATCGAGACCCTGCCTCGATTAAATAAAGGGCGCAATCAACAGTGTCTGTCGCTGGCGAATGTGCAAATCAACAGAGATCCAGCCTCTGGCAGTGTTAGTGTCTCGGTCCGCGAGACGAGCTCTTCATACTTCTCAAGCATCTACGGCGGCAGCAAGAACGTGAAGAACAAGGTGTACAACCACTTTTTAAACTTAATCTTCCGTAGTGAAGAGTTTTCTAATACATTTCTCATCGCAGCGATCGCCGAGATCGCTGCGAATGGGCGAGAAAATTGTGAGGCCATCATGGGTGCCGAAGGTGCGAGAGACATCGTGCTTGAATTGAAGACTTTTCGCCCGCGCTTGAGTGAAGCAAACTGACCTGGACCTCGTTTCGCCGCAGGAGGGTTGCGTCAGCTCTTAAATGCGCTGAATTCAACGAATAGATCGTTAGTGCAAGAATCGTCGCGTGTATTGGCGCACATATGCCGTGTGCCTGAGCTCGCACGTTCTCCCGGGGGGGGAGAAATTCAAGAAGAGTTGAAGAGTTTAATTCAGGTACGAGAACATTTAAATTACGCTGCGATGTACATCGCGCGATTTTCTGCCGTTGGTTGATCGTACATAATTTACTAACATGTTCGCACGCAGGATCCCAACGAATTCCGAAATAAATGTGGTTTGACTATTTTGAATGGTTTAGTGAGCTCTTCGCATGAAATTTCAAGAGTACGCTTTTCTCGCTTCGACTCAGCTCCAAAGTCCAACTGACGCGTGTTAATCCCAGGAGTGTTACACAGAAGAATTAATTGAGCGACTCGCGGCTTTGGCGGGGGTACGTGCTTTCATTTTTACTGTTCATTTAAATGTGTGAATTAATTTAATTAATTGTGACAGGTGGTTGATGACAGTATGCGGCTGCTAGCGCTCAAAGCGATTGGGACTTTCGCGTTCGAGGAACACAACAGGCAGTTGATATTAAAGAATCGAAGCGTGCACGCGATCTTGGTCATGTTCGCGCTGAAACCGGAATTGAAAGCTGCAAGCGTTGCCGTGAGGAGGGAAGCGATCAGAGTACTCGCCATTTTGGGGGAGAACGAGCTCGTGCGCCAGGGTACTCGCAGACCCGAGATCAGCGGGCGTGGTGTGCGCATTCTCGCGTTGGATGGTGGCGGTATTCGCGGTCGAGCGACGCTTCAGATGCTGAAAAGAATCGAGGTAAGAATTATTTTTTTTATTTATTTCGAGCCCAAATTCAACATTTTTATCTCTTCTCGCGAGCAGCAAGGAACTGGTCGCCCCATTCACGAATTATTTGATTTAGTCATCGGGACGTCCACTGGCGCTATTTTGGTACGTAACGACGACGTGATACGCCAGAATTAATTAATTAAGCTCATCGTCTCGTGATAAATTAATTCGTGCTGACGAACGTCTTTCTGCGCGCAGGCCACCGCTTCTTGCGTGAAGAAGTACTCCCTCGATCACTGCGATGAAATTTATCGGAAATTAGGTCGTAAAATCTTCAGCCAGACGACGCACGACGAGGACACGGCCGGGGCGAACTCATGGCTTGGGAGCGTCGGGTCCATGTACACGAGTGGGAAGCAGCAGTTGCTCGCCACGACTCTGTATAGTAGCAAGCATGACAGGAGTACTTTCGAAACGCTTGTGAGACAGGAGAGCAAGGTTGAGAACGAAGACGTGGCGTGGATCGACACCGCTACGCTCGGTGGACCAAAAGTGTGTTGTGTCTCCACGATGACAAGTCAGACTCCAGCGGCGCCGTTCTTGTTCAGGAACTACAACTACCCAGTCAGCACCTGCAGTGAACAGCAGCAAACTCAGTTTGGCAGCTGCGAACACTTGTTGTGGCAAGGTGTCTGTGCGTCTGCGGCCGCACCGTACTATCTGTATGTCGATCAGTTCCAAATAGGGTCGGGGCGATGGATTGATGGAGCTATGACTTGCAACAACCCGGCGATGCTGGGTATGCAGGAGGCTCGCAGACTGTGGCCTGATAAGAACATAGACTGCCTAGTGTCCATCGGAAGTGGGATTTTCCCTGCTTACGATCGCGAAACTTCTATATCTCTCGTTGCTTTGGCCAAGGACGTTTTGTTCGAGAGTGCATGCGATACTGAGCGCGTTCACGAATACATGGAGTTGGCGTTGGGGCTCATTCCAGGCGCCAGGTATTTCCGGTTCAACCCGGTTGACCCGCGCTGTAAGGTAGAAGTCGATGAAACCGACGCTGGTGCTCTGCAAGCGTTGATTGACGCGACGAGAGATTACATATCCGCGGAAGCAGATATGTTTGACGATGTTTGCGATGTACTTGGAGTTGTGGATGGTGAGATTGACGCTGTTACATCAAAACTTCTGGACACAGAGATTGGTGGTGCACGGAGTGTAGTAATGGTCGAATCACCTCGCTACGAAGATGAACTTTCAGAGTGTGGTGCGACCGTCAGAAATTTCTGCAACTTGCGATCGATATCGATGAATACCGTCAACTTGTTCTCGAAGGAAAATGTTAGTCCAGGCGCAGCTATGTTTGATCTGAACACCTCAACGCATTTGTCCACAGCTGCAGTCATTCATTTCAACTGCCATACCGACTCTGATGGTTTAATTCTTGCTTGGCAAAAGGATATGATGGCAATTGCAGAGCCTAGCTCTGTCGCTGAGCTTTTCTTGAGCGCTTCGGGAAGCAAATACCGGACGATTGGGGAACACTACGAGGCAGAGTCCCACGCAGAGGTGCAAGGAATCTTGCACACGCTAGCAGGAAAGCACGTACAAAAGACCGACACCGGCGAGTCGACGACCGCGTACTTGTTTCAGCGCACTATACCGATGGATTATTTGGACGCCTCAACGAGTCGTGAGCTTTTCGGAGTGTGGCGTGGAAAAATTATTGTTTCGCAGTGCACCCCTCCGTTCCAACTCGTCGAGGCGTGGCTAGAGGCTGGAGCAAAATGTGTCGTCGCACCCTGCGAGCTAGGCGTTCAGGCAAATATTGCGCGTGTACACGCTGATTTTATTGCTGCGTTTTATCACGCACTCTTCGTCGTCGGTGCTGATGCCACTGCAGCACTCACTGCAGCTACGATTGTTCAACCAGCATGTTCACATTTCCGGTGTCACATCCTTGTTGAAGGCGAGGTGGTGACGCTCTGCCCTGACGAAGATTACGAACTCGAAGTGGACACGCACGTACACTAGATGTGCGATAGGTATTTATTAATCACTACCATAGTTTTAGACTAATTCCAAAGCTCTCTCTACTCCACCTCAACATCGAGAAGGCTCTCCGTGTACTTTTTCAACTTCTTCTCGTCAATCACCTTAACATTCTCAATCCAGCCGAGCCACTGGAGCAACATGTACGTCAGTACTTTACCCGCGTCTTGAATGAACGCCCACGCGATGACGTACAGCCAGCAATATCCGGATAGTTCCCAAGAAATCCCTTGCATACCATTTCCAAACGGCCAGTACACCGCCAGGAGGGTGGACGCACCAGTGGCAATGATGAAAGCACCAACCAGGATAGCGCTCGGCGCTCGAGACCAGAACCAACCCTTCGTTCGAGAGTTGAACACAGAGAAATAATCAGATAGACTGATTTTCAAGTAAATTAGCGTCTGGATTTCGCCGTAAGACATTGCAGGAAGACCCAGTTGGCGCCAAGTGCTTTCTGGATCGCCAGACTGCAATGCGGAGCTCAGCATGAGCACCGATGATGCGAGCGCAGTCATGCCTATAGCGGATGAAACAATGTACAGAATGTTCAGGTCCCATTTCTCTGGCATCATAGACGCGTGAACATTGTCGTACGCTACGGAAATGATCGTTCCATCGTTCAAGATGGTGATCGTGACGAGCGCGATCACTGGGATCGCAAAGTGCGCAGGCCAAGCGGCGTTGTACTGACTCGGATGGTAGAAGATGCAAGAGATAAAGAAGAAAAATAAGAGCTGCTCCGTGCACGCCACCCGATAGATGACGAAATTTTTCATTCTCTGGAAAATTTTCCGGCTAGTCACGATTGCCGTCACAATAGTCGACAAACCAGGAGCAGTGAGCACAATGTCCGCTGCAGCTTGCGCGGCGCTCGTGGCACCTTGCACCGCGATGCCGACGTCCGCACGCTTCAGAGCGGGAGCGTCGTTCACACCATCGCCAGTCATACCAACGAGCATACCCTGTTGGCGAAGGGCTTCAACAATCAAATACTTGTGCTCTGGGAAGACTTGAGCGAAACCATCAGCCTTCCTGCACAACTCGCCATAGTCCCGTCCCAACGTAGTCGCCTTCTCTAATTCTTCCGCCTTCATAAGTGGAAGTTTTTCTGTACCGAGTACGTTCGTTCCCATACCCAACGTTCTGCATGTTTCCACTGCAATGGCGCGATGATCACCCGTGATCATTTTGACGCTGACTCCAAAATCCCTGGCGCAGTCAATCGTGTGCTTCGTGTCCGGTCGGGGAGGATCTAAGAACGTCAGGATCCCCAGAAATTCGAACTCATCGCTGCTCCCCTTCGTTCGCGCCACTGCAAGAGAGCGAATGCCGCGATGAGCGAGCTCGAGGACCACCTTCTCAACTTCCTTGCCGATCGTTCCCTTGTTTGAACTCAACTCCAACACGACGTGCGGGGCGCCCTTTGTGACTTTGAAGACGTTCCCGCGCTTATCCTTGATGGTACTTTCCGTCCTTTTGATAGATGGATCAAAAGGCAAGTGATCCACGAGTTCGTAGTCGTTAAGGGAGCTGACGTTGACAGCGTTCAATACCAACGTGTCCAGTGCGTCCTTCGGTGGCTCCCACCACTTCGCCGCCAGCGCGGCGCACTTGAGCACCTCTTCGCGAGTGATGTCTTGAACAAACGTTGGCAAGTCTTTTTGGAGTACCATCTTGTTCAAAGTCAGCGTTCCTGTCTTGTCCGAGCACAAAATGGTCATGCCAGCCAACTCCTCCACAGAAGACAGTCGCGCAACAATGGCCTTTTCAGCCGCAAGTTCGTGACAGCCCAATGCCAGCGTCGTCGTGCATACGACACGCAACGCAATGGGAATAGATGCAACCAACAAGACGACGTTGAACGCCAAAACTTCCCAGAAATCAACACGAATAGACAACAAATAAATGAACACGATGGAACAAATGAGGAAACCGACGGCTACCAAAATGTACGTGATCTCTCTCAGAACTTTCTCGAAGTGTCCGAGCTCATCCACGCCTTGAACTAGATCGGCAGTTTTACCAAAAAAGGTGTGGCTACCCGTGGCCGTGACGGTGGCTTCTATTTCCCCTCGTGTCACGGTGGAACCCATCTTTGCTTCTGCTCCCGTGAACATTGCCACTGGCAGTGATTCACCCGTCAATGCAGATTGATCCACCTGGATCGGTTTACCCTCTCTCATCGTGCAATCGGCGGGGATCGCTCCTCCGGCGCCCAACACGACGATGTCTCCGGGTACTAGTTTTGTCGCATTGATAACGTACACCCGACCCTCTCGCTTCACAGTCGCCTCCGGCTTGAGCGACTCCCTGAGTGCCGCGATCGCGTCCCCAGCCTTCATCTCCTCTATAAATCCAACCAAGACGTTCAAGAGCTGCAGAACTACGAGCACTATGACGTCCACCAAGCCGTCCATGGACTGGTGGATGTATGTCTCAATCGATTCGATAGCGATGGCTGCCCAGATCATCATCGGCATCGGTTGCACAAACTCGAGCGCCAGCTTGAGCCACATGTTGTCCTCCTTCACTTTCAGCTCATTCGGGCCGAACATCTCCAATCGTCGCGCCGCCTCGTCCTCGGTGAGCCCCTCGTCGCCGGTGTTGAGCAGACTCGACAGCTCCACACCCATGTAGAAGCGCGCATCGTCCACGCTCTCCGTGCCGTACGCCGCGCTGTCCTCTCGGCCCTTACCCAGAAGCGGGGCATTCGTCGAGGACGGTCCCACGTCCGCGTCTTCGTCGTCCCCGTTTCGCCCCATGTTCACCGCCCGCGTGGGCGTCGACCGCCGCGATGTCTCGTGCGGTTGGGTGTTGGACGCTCCCTCTGAGCCTCTAAACCCTCGCGTTTTCGTCAACACCAATCACGCTCGCCGTTCGTCGTCACCTCCCGACGAGTGCGCTCGACCTCGGACGTCGCGCGCGATGGCGACGAACGCTGAGCGCATCGCGCTCGTCGCGCACGCGCGCGATGGCGATGATCCTCCGCGGACGAACGCGAGCGAAGGGAGAAGACGACACTGGATGTTGGCGATTGGGATGCTCGTCGCAGTGCTCGCGATAGCGGCGGTCGGGGGACGCTCGGGGGAGAGGTCCCACGATGAGGGTGCGCTCGGGCGACTAGGCATCGGTCTTGACGCGAACGAGGTTGGAGATTGGATGGGGACTCATCGAGAGTGGCGAATCGTGAGCTTTGTGAATAAGGAGTACGAGACGATAGCGAGGCTGTGGTATCACCGGTTGAGTAACTTGGGGTACGATTCGCACCATCTCGTCGCGTTGGACGACTTGGTGTACGATAGTTTGAAGAGGGCGAACTTTAGAGTCCTACGGGCGCCCGGTTTCACGATGAACAACGGCGATAGCTTGTCGGACTTTTGGAAGTTTCGTTTGAACTACTTGTTGGATGAAGTCAAGCGAGGACAAAACGTGTTGATGTCCGATCTAGACATCGTGTTTGCCCATCACTACGAGCCGGAAGTGATATTCAACAAAGCGGAGGACGAAAACGTGGACATTTTTCACTCCCTCGGCGCGGGATGGCCGAAAACGGCGAAGGACAGGTGGGGGTTCTCCATCTGCATGGGATTCTCAGCGTTCAAGGCAACGAAGACAACAGAGAAGACGCTTGAAGCGGCGCTTGGGGTGTGCAGCCACGCGACGACGTGTGATGATCAAGTGGTGATGAATGAACTCTACATGAACTATCTTCAAATGTCTTGGACGTCAAATTTCGAGAATGGAGAGCGCAAAGGGATATCGCGAAATACGATGATACCTCTCGTCGTGAAGACGCTCGCAAGTCTCGTCCCTCGAGTCCGTCCGGGATCTCTCGAAGATGTGCCAAAGGGTCGTTCGACCCAGTGTCTTGGACACGTACATCACGTCGACGGCGGACACTGGGCTGTGGCGCCGGTGATTGAGAAGGATGGAACCGCGAAGGTGGAAATGTGGCATTCGTTCCACGACAAATGTTACGAAGTCACCGTGAGCGCTCTGGGTGCGCAGTGGGCACACTGAGCGATATGGTGCTGTGATGCGTTGTTTTAGACTGTATTGAAATGATAATAGATAGCAAGCATAGCACGCTAATGCATGGAGACTCGACTTTGCCCACGCGCTGACAGTTGCGTTTGAATGGAAACTTGCTGAAACCGCAGACAGCGGCGTGCACACTCGAGTCTTCTAGAGCTCGAGCGCGTCTTTCATGCTCTCTACCGCTCGGGGGCGCGCCGTGCGGTCGATTCGCGGCGCTCGATCGCTCTTCGACTCGTTTACACGCGATGGCGAAGCGGACGAGCGTGCGCCTGGACTAGGTATCGCCTCGAGAGGCGTCGTGGTCGACGGCTTCGCGCCTCTCAATAGTCGCGGGTACGCCTCGACGGCGTGTCGCGGCGAGCGCACGTACAATCTCTCTGCCCTCGCGCACCCGCCTGTGGGATGGACGTTCGCATCGAGCGCGCGAGGGATGGACGCGAGACGCACGCCCTCGGCGACGACCTCGCAGAGAAGGAGTTTATTTGGTTTTGGAAAGAAGCGCGGTGTAGATGCCGTCGCGGCGGACGCGACGACGAGTGGTAGCGCCGTGTCGGACGCGCTAGTGACGGTGAGCGACGTCGCTCCTGCGTTGGGATCTCTCGCGAGCGAGGTGGTACCTGTGGCGGTGCAGAGCTGGCCGACGACAGCGGCGCTGATGTACGCCATGGAGTATTTCCACGTCGCACACGGGCTCGAGTGGTGGTTGGCTATCGTCGGGGCGACGGTATTTATGAGAACGGTGACGTTTCCACTCGTTGTGATGCAGATGAGGAACACAGCGAGGATGCAGCTGTGCAAGCCAGAGCTCGAGGCTTTGCAAGCCAAAATGAAATCAAACCCGTCTCAAGATCCGGAGTTGGCGACCGCGTATTACGCGGAGATGCAGAAAGTCTGGAAAAAGTACGACGTCAATCCTTTCAAGAGTTTTGCGCCGGTTCTCATCAACGCTCCGGTGTTCATTTCCTTTTACTTTGCCATATCCAAGATGGCTGCCGGCGTTCCATCTTTTGAAACGGGTGGTCCATCAATGTACCCGGATCTATCCATCGCCGACCCCACGTATTCTTTGCCCATCCTATCTTCCCTCACTTTCTTGGCCTCGGTGGAGTTGGGCACCGTTGAAGGGATGCAAACCTCTCAGAGCGCGCAGATGAAGTGGTTCCTTCGAGCGTTGGCCGTCGCCATGGTTCCGCTCACGGCGAGCTTCCCGCAGGGCGTCTTCGTGTACTGGATCACGTCCAACATGTTCTCCGGGGTTCAAACGAGCATCACGAGAACGAAGGGTTTCAAAGCCGCCATGGGGATACCCGACGTTTCCGCCGTCGCCGACGCTCCCGCGGACGCGGCGCTGAGCCGAGTGCAGCTCGACCAATTTCAAAAGAAATACGGTCCCACCCCAACCTTGCACAAGCGCCCGCCGTCCAAGGGAAAGAAGCAGCGATAAATTTGTAGTGAGATAGCCAAACCGTAGCGCGATCCCGTTCCGCGCGCGCGCGGTCGACGCGCGCGCGCTGCTAAACCCTACACACGTCCACGAGTCATGACTCACCTCGACCCCCCCACACACGCGATCGATCCACCCCGGTCCCTCGTCCTCGACGCCGCGCGCGATGTTCATCCACCCGTCGCGTTCTCTCGTCCCTCGGTCGATCCTCGGCGTCGTCGCGCGCGCTCGCGTCCGCACACGCGCGCGCGCGCGCGTGCGGGGCTAAACCGCGACGGAGACGATCGTCGACATGTTCACCGCGTCCGCGCCCTCGTTCATGGCCGCCCCGAGCGCGACGTGCGCCCGAGGATGCGCGCGATCGACGACGACGAGCGCGTCGGGCATCAACGGCTACGTGCGCGCTTCTCGAGCTCGAGCGACGCGAATCGCGTGCTCTTCGCTCGGTGAGGGCGAGAGAGGGAGAGAAGGGGGAGACGTCCGTGGCGAGATCGGTCTCGCGAGGTTACCGAGGCCGAGCGTGCGCCGTGCGGTCGTGAGAAGAGACGCGAGGACGAGCGGGACGAGCGGGAGAATCCAAGGGAACGTCGCGGGTGACGACGGTAGAGCGTGGTGGCGAAATGTCACGGCGAAGGCGGCGGTGGATGGGGGGTCAGAGTCGGCCGACGCGAGCGCGAGCGAGGATTTCGGGAGTGAGGACGAGGGAACGGCGGGGAAGCCGGTGAACGTGTTGAAGACCTTCTTGCGGCGTCTGGTCAAGCCGCTGCAAGACTTCGGGTTCGGCCGCACGAGACTTTGGGAGGGTGGTGTTGGTTTATTTATCATCTCTGGCGTCGCGGTGACTTTCATCATCTGGGGCTGGATCCAAGGTTTGCTGAGCTTTGCAAGAAAGAACTCGTACCAAGCCTTCATAGAGTTCCCGGTGGCGTGCGGCATTCAAGTCGGCACGAACGTTCGGGTTCGCGGTGTCAAGGCTGGGACAGTGTTGAGCGTTCAGCCGAGTTTGGAAAAGGTGGACGTCTTGGTCGAAATGGACGACAAGAACGTTCCCATTCCTCGCAACTCTGTGATTGAGGCAAACCAAAGTGGTTTGATTGCGGAGACGATCATTGACATCACCCCGGCTCTCCCCATCCCGAACGCGCAGTGGGGACCTTTGGACTCCGGTTGTGAGGGCGAAGGTTTGATCGTGTGCGATCGCGGGAAGATCAAGGGCGTGCAGGGTGTGAGCATGGATGAGCTCGTTGGTATCTGTACGAAGCTCGCAAGAGAGATGGAGAGACAAAACGGGGTGCAGCAGATGTTCGCCACGACCGAATCCGCGCAGCGCCTGATGACGACTCTCCAGCCACTTCTCCGTGAGGCCGCCCAAATCGCGCACGAACTTCGTCCCATGATGCAAAACGTGAACGAGCAAGGCACGTTGGATACGCTCGAGGATCTCGCCGGGAAGACGTCCGCCACCGTGGAAGATATCAGAAGGCTCAAGACGACCATCTTGACGGACGAAAACCAAGAGCTTCTCCGCCAATCTATTTCAACGCTCACGAAGACGCTTCAGCACGTTGAGAAGGTTTCTGGAGATATCAGTAGTGTTTCTGGCGATCCGAGCACTCGTACGAACTTGCGCCACCTCATTCAGTCCTTGTCGAGACTGGTCGACGCCTAGATTCAAATCTTTTCTACACTTGTCGCATGGAAAATACACACTTGCTAGGTATCTACGCCCTACGTTCCTATCTTACACCATCGGCGAGCGCTCGCTCACCGAGGAAACTCGTGCAAAGTCACCGCCCCCACGGCTTGAATGTCAGACTCCAAGGCCTTCATTGCAACCGTAAACTCGCTCTGACCATCGTCCAGGGACTCCGCGTGCGCCGCCTTGAGCGCTCGCACGCTCGTCATTGTCTTCAGACGTTCTTCATTCGCTTGCATTGCCTCGACCCACTCCTCCGATCCTCCCGCGCGCTCGGCGAATGCCCGCAGCGTCCGCGTTGCTCCGCGCGCCTGTCCGTATGCGAATCCCGCGGTCCCACCATCGACGAAACCGGCGTTGAACCCGCTCTGGAGTGTCTCATCCTTTCCATCTTCCAGACCGTCGAGATATCCGGCATTGTGATGCTGCGTGAGCGATACAATCGTCGTCAGTGAATCGAGTCGTCCCGGGCGGCTGCCTCGAGTGTTTTCGAGGGAAAGGAACGCCGCGCGTAGACGTAAACGCACCTTTCTTCGCTCCACGCGCTCGTCGACGACGTGTTCGGGGACGTGATGTTCCGCGCGCGACGCGTCGACGTGATCGGCGTCGTCGTCGGACACCGCCCACGGGTCCGCGCACGGCATCGCGCGCTGCGGTGTACGGGGCGAGAGCTACGAGCCAGCGAGTTGTGCGTTGAGTCGATCGAGGATGCCGCGCGTGGAGAACCCTCTTTTGGAACGCAAAAAATATTTTCTATTGAATCATCACGCGATTAGACTAAGAGAGGTGAATCTAAGACGGCGTAACCAGCTGCGACGCCGCCTTCGTCGGATGACGCCGCCTTCGTGCGCAACAAGTGCCCGCCGTGTTTGTTGATCACTACCTCGTCCCCGACTCGTAAATAACTACCGTAGATACCGAGCTCCGATAGAGTTTCGATCTTCTTCACGTCTCCTTCACGAACAGTGAGCGTCTGGTGCGCGGGAGGGAGAATGCGCTGCATAAGAATGTACTCGCTCAAGTCTCCGCCTTGCTCGAGACGAGCGCGCAGCTCGTCAGAGTACAAGTTATTGCCCCCACCCTCGCGCTGCGGCTTCAAGACAAAGCCAGCTGGATTAGATAACGCAAGCTCTACCGTTTTAATCGCGTCTTCTCCGTCCAAAGAATACAATCCGGCGAAGACTCGACGCATTTCCTCCGCGTGTTCGGGCATGAACGTCTCTAGCACGCCCGGCTCTGCGAGCTTCTGCTGAATCTTCTTCGATCCCGCCAGGTGCATAGCCGCCGACGGACTCTTCAGTGCGTTCGATTTCTCTATCATGAGTCTCGCCGCCCACTCTCCGTCGGTGGGGTAATCCGTTGGCGTGTACCCAGCGCGGAAATACACCAAGCCAATGTCATCGCCTTGAAATGTGAGCGTTTCGTCTCGTAGCTCGCCCTCGGCGTTAATCTCCGCGAGCGTCGCTCTCACGGTGTGGACGCCGTACTTTTCGAAGATATATTGCGAGATGTGTCTCTGGTCAAACATGTTGCGCTCGTGTGGCTGAACCACCATCATAATCTTCCCTTTACTTCCCCCGGCTTTCCAACCCGCCGCGAGAATGTCGCCCGCGCACTGCAAGGCTTCGTTTTCCGGAACCCCACTGAGATCGACCGCTTCGCCGCCTTTCGCCGACCATCGCGCCAAGTGACGATGCATCGCGCTCACTTTCGTCGCGAGCGCCATGAACGACGTACTCACCGTGTTCACCTCCACCTGCAGAGGTAAACCGCTCGGCGCGTCGAGCATGTAGTCGCTTCGCAGGACGCCCACCTCGGCCCGCGGCCGTCCCGCCTGCCCTCCCGACTCCTCGTACACCCTCCACAGCGCCGCCGTGAACGCATCGTTCTTAATCGCTCCCTTTAACGCGTTTCGCATGAACGCATCGTCTCTCGAGACCGCATCGTACAGCTCGGCGAACCTCGGCGAGACCGCTCGGGCGAGCTCGTACGCCCTCCTCGGAAACACCGTCGGCGCGCACGACACGGGCGCGTGCGCGTACCCACCCACGTTTTCCCGATCTCCGATCACACATCCGTGCGCCACCGCGTGCGCCACCGCCTCCGTCGCGCGCGCGCGCTCGTCCACCGTCACGTCGTCGTCCCACGAGACGATCAATCCTCGCTCGTTCGACACGCCCATCACCGTGCGCGCGATTCTTCCCTCCGTCGCGCGCGGTCCAGCGCGCGCGCGCACCGAGCGAGACCCCAGACCCACGCGCGCGCGCGTTCGCGTCGGCATCCACCGTCCCGTCGTCTCGCGACGCGTCGTCGTGTCGAGACGACGGCGATGGCGACACCGATGCGCCCCCGAGACCTCTCGCTCGCGCACTGAACGACGCGAGACCGCGATGGACGTCGACGACGTCCCGATCGACGCCGACCGCGCGCGGACGTGGGAAGATTTGCTCGAGCGCGCGCTCAGAGACGAGGGCGCCGCGGAGGCCGCGGTGCGGACGAGCGATGGATTTCGATCGACGCATTCGAGCGCGAAAACCGAGTCAACGGGCGGTGGAGGGACGACGACGCCGAGAACGTTCTTGCGAAAGGGGGCGCGGTCGGCGAGAACGTCGCCGTTGACGCCGAAGACGACGCCGAGGGTGGAGAGCGCGCGAGCGAAGGTGGGATCGAGAAGCGGAGGTGGGGGGGCGGCGACGACGTCGCGCGGGACGCCGGGCGCGAACGGGACGCCGAGGGAGACGAGCGGGCGAACGATGAAGGCGTCTCCGCGAGGCCGAGGGCTGTTCGAGTTCGACCAAGATGCGAACGTGCAGCCGTCGACGATGGAGGCGTGGCGGGCGCACAAGGTGCGGAGCGCGAGCGAGGTGGAGGCATTCGAGGCACTCGAACTGCGCGCTCGAAACGGGACGCGCCGTGACGGAGAGGCGGCGACGTCCGCGACGACGAGGACGATGCGAGCGAGCGATGGGGTCGACGGCGGTGCCGTCGTTCGTGATTTCATCTCGTCGCCGAGTGCGGAGGAGCAGAAGGCGCGCGCCGCGTTCGAGCAGGCCAAGGCGAATCTCACGCAGAGCGAACGTCGGTTCGCCGAGGAAAAGGCGGCTTGGCGAGCGCAGAGAGACGCCGCGGAGGAGGCGTTCAAGGCTGAGTGCGATGACGTTCGAAGACAGTTCAGGCGCGAGAAGGCGGCACTTATGCGCGAGATGGAGACTCGAATGGCGATGCCGACCAAGGAGGAGCGAAACGAGTCCAAGTTCTTGCGCGAACAACTCGAGCGAAACGAAGAGGAATTCAAAGCGGAACGAAAGCGCGCCAAGCTTACGGTGGACAGGCTTCGACAACAAATAGTCGATCTCACGAACGAGGTCTCACAACTTCGTATGGAAAAGCGAGCGATCGAAGAGAAGCGAGAGGTCGCCGAACGTCTTCGCGAGCAGGCGACGACGACGCACACGCCGCCGCGTCGCGCCGAACCGGCGTTCGAGTCGCCCGGCCGTTCAATGGTTTCCTTGAGCCCGAAACCACCCGTCTCCGAGTCTCTCATGTCAATCGTTCCGAGAGCGCTGAGCGTGTACGATCCCACGCCGAGTGTCAGCACGGCTCAGTCCGCAAACGCAGGTGCAATGCGCGAGCGCGAGCACGACGACGGTCGCGTCGAGCGCTCCTTCGCCGACGGCCGCCGCGTCGTTACCTTCCCCAACGGCACTTGCAAAGAGATCGTGCAGCGCTCGCCCGATGAAGTCATGGAGACCATCTACTTCGTCAACGGCGACGTCAAGCGCACGCATCCCGGAGGAACGATCGAGTACTACTACAGCGACGTCGAGACGTGGCACACGACGCACCCATCCGGCGACGAGCTCTACCACTTCGTCGCCACCGACCAGGTTGAGCTTCACCGCGCCCGAGGTTCGAGTTCGGGCGTGGAGAAAGAAATCTTATTTCCCGACGGTACCCTACGACGGATTCACGTCGACGGTCGAGAGGAGGACGTCGACCCGTCGCGTTGACCGCGTCGACGCCGCGCGCGTTGACCGCGTTGAGTCCTGACCCTTGAACATACACACACACACCGTGGGCACACCCACCCCCTCCATCGTCGCCGCACTCGCGCGCGCTCGTCTGATGTCCACGAGCTCGATTGATCTTCGCACCGCCACGCTCGATGAGTTGCGATCGGCGGACGCGCAGCTCCGCGAGGAAGTCACCGCGTACGGGGAGTCGTTACACATGTTGAGCAAAGCGGTGAGTCGATACCACGCGAGCGGGAGGGCGATCGAGGCGTTGTCGAAGGAAACCGTGGGAAAAGACATGTTAATACCGCTCACGGAGTCCCTGTACGTCCCGGGAAAGATCGCGAAGACGAACGGGGTGCTCCTGGACGTCGGCACCGGGTACTTTATCGAACACGACGCGGAGAAGGGGATCGATTATTGCAAACGCAAGGTGAACTTTATACGCGAAAACGTGGACGCGTTGATGGAACTCTTGACGAAGAAGCGAAAGCAGTTGGTGTTGGTGCAAGATTTCATGCGCGCGCGGATGCAGGAGCAAGCGCAGGCGACGCAGGCGGGGGCGTGAGACGCAGTAGATGATTAGAATATACATGAGAATACACGAAAAATGTCGTAGACGCGCGGCGCTCACGCGTCTTCGTCTCGGTCAGTCGTCGCCTCGAGGATCTCCTTGGGTGGACCGTCCTCGGAGAGCTTGAAGTGAGCTAAAAACTCGGTGTTACCCTCCTTTGCTCCCTTTATTGGCGACGTCGTGTGCGCGACGTAATCGAAACCAAACGTCTTCGCGCCCTCAATGACGTTTTGAATCACTTCGGCGTGCACGCTCGCGTCTCGAACGACCCCTTTCGAGCCAATTTGACTTCGTCTCGCCTCGAACTGCGGCTTGATGAGAACCAGCATGGTTCCTCCAGGCTTCAAAATCTTACAAATCGCCGGGAGAACCTTGAGGACGGAGATGAAGGAGAGATCCAGCGTCACGATGTCGACGACGTCTGGAAGTTGCGTGACGTAACGCAAATTCGTGCGCTCCATGATGACCACCCGCTCGTCCTGCCTAATCTTTTCCGCCACCTGCCCGTACCCAACGTCGACACCGTACACCTTCCTCGCCCCGCCTTGGAGCAAGCAATCGGTGAATCCACCGGTGCTCAAACCCGAATCGAGCGCCGTGAGTCCCGAGACGTCGACGCCAAAGTATTCCAGCGCCTTTTCCAACTTCAACCCAGCCCTACACACGTACTTCGGCTGCTCCGCGATCACTTCAATCTTCACGCTCGGCTTAAATTTCGTCCCCGCCTTGGTCACCGGCTGTCCATCCACCAAAACCTTCCCCTGCGCAATCCAACTCTGCGCCACGTTGCGAGACAGCTCCGGGCGCGTCATCACCGTGAGCTCATCCAGGCGCGTCTTCCCTCCCCCCTTCCTCTCCATCCCTCGTCCGTTCGCTCCATCGTCGCCATCGCGCGTCGTCCCTCGCGTTCGCCCGTCGTCGCTCGCCGTCCACGCCTCGCGTTCGCCCTCGCGTTCGCCCTCGCGCGTCGCCCGCGTCGTCCCCCGCGCGCTCGTCCTCGCCCGCGTCCATCGCCCGCGACGCACCGCCGCGCACACCACCGCGGTCGATCGACGGACGAACGCGCGCGTCATCG